CGTAAGTCAACTTTGTCCAAAACAAGGCTGTATTTTGTTTGACTATAAAATATCATCAAGGACAATGTCGAATCGAAATATTATCAGAAATATAAAGATGACTACCACTTGGAATGGCCTTTGTTGAATTGGGAAATCTACGAAAGGCGAATACTACGCATTTTGTACAGTTTGCGGCGCAGATATCTCCATCAAGAGTGGGGGAAAGAAAAGGATGTATTTCGCCACATCACATCTGACAAAACACAAGAAACAGCGAAAATCAAGGGGCAAACTACAAAAGGATACAGAGCTTTTTCAGGTTAGTATGAACAGTTCTAGATTTGTAAAATCGAGAAATAGTCTACCCCTCCATACCATAGACTGCGTTCATTTCGTCAGTAGTTGGGGACCTCATTAATCTCCCTAAAAAATTTGACTTACTCATAAACACGTGTGCGGACTTGAAGGGTGATTTTCTCACGATTTTATGTTTTTATTTGAAATACTAATCTGCACGTTGACTGTTTTATGCCAGTATCATGAACTTTAATAGTTTGTTAGGTTACACACATTGCAAGACAATAGCATCATTTTTATGAATTGCTTCGATCCTTAGTTTTGAAAATTCGAATTTGACCGTTTAAATCGTATTTAGCGCCCTCTCTCGGTGATCAATGATGTTTTGTTAATTATCTGGCATATGCAATGTTATTTAAAAAAGATTTGACCACAGAATGATAAAAAAGATAAATTCTGAAATTTTATCCAATCTGTGCATGGGAAGGTGTTCTTTATCAAGGAAGAAGATTTTGGTTAATTATCGGGGATAACGATAATGAATATTTTGAGCACATTTTAGTAATAGCTTTACTAATAATCATTTATTTTTCACAATATTTTGTGCAAGATTATGCTTGATACTATTTTTCATTTTATTCAGATTTTAAGACAAATTCGGGGATAAAAATATTCGCTTTTACCAAAACTGTAGTTACTTTAAACTTTTAAAGAGAATATGTAAACTGCAATCTGATTTTTTTTTCCTTTCAAAGTTTTTCTTAAATTTTATTTTATATCGTTTTTTTTCCAGTCAGCAGCTGGTGATGCACGGTGCAACCAAGGCCGAAGCTCTGTTTACAGGCTTTCTGGTAGAGCACAATTTACCAGTTGCCGTCAGATCACGCTGGCCCCATTTTCAAGAAAATGTTTCCCGACTCGAAACATTGCTACCAAGTACGGTTCTGCAAGAACCAAAACTTCGTCAATGATCCATGCGATGAGCAAGAATACATCTGCCTTGATTGCTGAAGAGGCTCGGAATTCGGTTTTCAGCTTGGCGACTGATGGGTCAAATGACGGCGGCTCTGAACAGCTATATCCCGTGCTACTTAACTATTTTGATGAAACAAAAGAAAAAGTTGTTCAGGCATTGTTAAGCTTGCCTGCACTTACAGATGGTGCTTCAACAGGGGAAAAACATATTCCAGCTTCTCAATAAAGAACTGTCAAAGGAAAAGATTCCATGGAGCAACTGCATATCCTTTGTTGCAGACAATGCATCCGTAAGCTAGGTAGACACAAGGGTGTAGCGGCCTTTATACAGAAGGGAACATTCTGAATGTTATGTCGTAGGATGCCCATGCCACATGGCGCACAATACAGCTGAGAAAGCCTCTAAAGCGCTTCCAATAGCCATTGATGAACTACTCATTGACATTTACTACTATCTGGATAAGAGTAGTAAGCGCCAGAAAGCTTAAATCTCTACAGATTTTGTGTGATACTGGTGTTCGGAAGATTTTGAAGCATGGTCAACTCGATGGCTTTCTCTCGGGCTATGTATTGACAGACTTTTGTCACATGGCAACCACTGCAACTCTTTTTTAAAGAAGAGATGAAGGGTAGCACAATGACCAGAAGACCAGTTTCAACAAAAACAGGACCATTAGCTGAGAAGACTGCCAAGGCATCTAGCACCACCAAACACTTCGATGTCTGCACCAAAGAAAGGACCATCTGCTGAGAAGACTTCCAAGTCATCTAGCACAACAAGCACTTTGATGTCTGCACCAAAGAAAGGACCATCTGCTGAGAAGACTGCCAAGACATCCATTACATCAACCAGCTCGTTGACAGCTACATCAAAGCAATACTCATCGGTTTCAAGGACTTTGAAAAGGAAATCAAGCGGGCCTCAGGGTGCATTACCTGCCAAGCGACCTGTTCTGAAAGCTGGAACCTTGACTGCACCAATTCTTCAGGAATCACGTCTGGTCAGAGTCCATCGTTTGCTGATATCACCCCAAACCAAACTGTATTGTTACTTCCTCAAATACAGTAACAAGATCTTTGATGACATCAACCTACTCCTACAGAGAGAAGAACCCTGCATTCAATTCTTAATAAGCAGCTTAATAAAGCCTTCCAAGATATGCTTGTTAGATTCGTGCAGCCAACAGTGATTGTTGAATGTTCTGATGTCAAGAAAGTGCAGTATGGTATAAGAGAGATGCCAGAAGTCAGATAAAGATCTAATGATTGGAAAAGATGCCAAGGAATACCTGGAGAGTACAACAAGCCAGAAGATGATTCTCCCCTTCGTCTTACAGATGTTGATTTGACATACTTCTACTTGTCGGTGAGGAAGTATTATGAATCAGCATGTGACTATGCCTTGAAAACCTGGCCACTAGATGTCAAGTTCCTTAAGGGGCTGAAGTGATTGATGTCAGTTCCAGAAGAGATGTGTCATTTTCATCTGTGCAATACTTTGTTGAAAAGTACCCTTGCATTTTGAACAGACAATCAGAGAATGGAGACCTGGACAAGCTTGAGCTGAATTTGCACAATACCAGGTTGAAGACTTTTCAGGGGAACCAGAGATCCTGAACAAAAACTTGAGAATAGACAAGAAATGGTCTGCAATTTCAAAGATGGAGGATGGCAATGGCTCAAAGAAATACACACTTCTGAGCAAAGTGATGAAATCTTTGCTTGTGATACCACATTCCAATGCTTCATGTGAAAGAGTTTTTAGCATTGTTAGGAAGAACAAAACTGATTTCAGGGGATCAATGAATTTGAAAAACACTTCAAGCACTCCTAACAGAGAAAATTGCCACACAGATGTCCCATGCTACCAAAGGGAGTATAGCAAGGACCTCCTTAGCAAACTCAAGCAAGCAACCTACCAGTCACTTCAAGGAAAACCCTCAAGCACACCCCAGTCCTTGCCTTCCACAAGTACATCCCCCATTTCACAATAGAGGTAACAGGAGTTCATAGTCTGAAATATGATGATGTGAAGTTCATATGTTATCAATTGTATGCAAATAAAATGTGCCATATCAAAGCCTTCCATTTTGAGAAATCATTGAAAAAATGTGTTCTAAAAGGGTTTCAAAGAGGCTTAAACCAAGAGCTTTTGGGGGCCTGCCCCCTGCCCCCCCCCCCCTCAGGGGCACTAAGAGTTGATTGTAACTGCATGCCACAGCGTGTACAAGAGGTGCGCTAAGAAGAGATCTTTAAAGTGCCCTGGCATTTGCTCCGGGTTTTAATTCGGCAAAGGCATTCGATTAGGGTGAGGGTTGCGGCTGCAGTCAGGTTTCACTAGGTGAGGTTGGGATGAGAGTTGGGGTTAGGTATGTGTGTGTTTGTTGGGTTCAGCGTTATGATAAAGACTTTGGTGAGTGTGTAGGAAATCGACGCAGAACAATTGGCGCAGGAGCAAGTGAAGTACAACCTAGAAACAATGCGTGCCTATATTCATTTTTCGTATCGTTTTATTTGAACAGATGATGAGGCTCCGACACTCACTTGCGGCAAGGGGGGCAGGTACCAGCAGCCCTGTTGTTGGACAGCTGCAGCTTTTTGCTGAGGGCGGTGCGCCCGACGACAATGTGGAGGTGACGAGCATCACTGCTGAGCCAACTTTCGAGGGGAGATGAGTACCCTCTCGGAGAGACAACCGTGGTTATCACCGCTGTAGATGCTGCTGGAAATGAGGCAAGCTGTACCGCAACGGTTACAGTTGAGGGTAAGTCTACGAAGTCAGATATGGAAAAGAAATGGAATATTCTTAGGGCAGCTCCTATGAAGCGTCTGCACCATTTGCATCAGCATTTACCAACGTTGACTGTTGAACATGCCTAAGATCTTCTCTCATAATGTTGATAAGTACCGTGTGCAATGTTAGATCGAACATTTTGTGCGCTTACCCGTGCTTGCGCATAGGTAATCTTGAGTAAATTGCCGCAATTTTCACTGGCAATGCAAATAAGATGTAGAAAAGATGGTAGAGTACATATTGAGCAGTTTCTTTGTGTCTGACAGTGAAGTCCAGCAAGTAAACAGGTTTACTTGCATAATTTGAATATTAAGACACTGATAACGTTTAAATTTCACAGATAGACATACATGGACATATTCAGAATTCCTGCAAAGTTCTACAGAATTGATGTTGGCTGCAAAAGGGACATAGTATATTTAAAGAGAAACAAAACGTACATTGACTCATAAAATGGGTACATGACATTTTATTACTCAACTGCGGAGGAAGTATATGTTTTATTAATTTTTTTGGCAGTGGCATGACAAGTTGTTTCTATGATGGCAAGTGGGATATTGTTCCAAAAACTTCCATGCTTTTGAATCAGCCACTGTAAAAAAAATTCCTGTAGGTGAGAGTCTGGATTTAGGATTTAGGATTAGTGCGTCAGTTGTTGCACGAATGATGCAAGCTGGTCTACCGGTATATATTTGGAGGGTGTTATTAAGATATTCAGGTGTCCAATGATTTAGAATTTTGTAGACATCAAAAGAATGCGTTGTTCAGTTGTTGAGGTAACCAGTGGAGTTCTGTAATCAAGTGCAGTCTGAGATTGAAAGCCAAAGATTAATCTAGTGGCTCGATCCTGGACAGTTTCTTCTTCTTTCATCCCTTCCATATTTTGCAGACAAAACATAAAGACAATTGTAATAATCTAATGTTTATAGAATAAGCATGGTCATGACTATAGTCTTAGCATCAATGAATCTAGGAATCCGCCATATAACCCAGAGATAATGAGTACAATCATGCTATATACAGATTGTTTATATTAGAAGACAATGTGAACATTTTATTACTGCAAACCCCAAGATTTGTTACTATTAGAGGAAATAGGAATAAGATCATTTACATCAAGTTGCAGACAGGAAATATGTTCAAGATAGCAAGCAGAGGAACAAAGAGCCATGAATCCAGAGTTAGTACCGTTCAATTTTAATTCAAAGACATCCAAGTGTCTAATTCAGCAATGAATAGTGAGATTTGTAGAGTACTTTCATGAAAATTTTCCGGAGAGCATGGGTCAACAGATATATTCTACTGAATGACATCAGCATAGCTTCTTAACCATATTTATGGACAATGGCGTAGTGTAGCCTCAGTCATTTCGGGGGGGGGGGGGGGGGGGGGGACCAGTTTTTAGTCTACTAGGTCAGCGATTTTTCAACCTTTTGTAAGTCATGGCACCCTTTCAGGTTTAAAATGTTTGCATCACCCCATTCCAAATTCATCAAAGAGGATTTTTTTTTCCATCGGAGGGCGGTGAGGGCCTCTTGTCTGAACATCATGCTATCCAGATCCTTACTATTGCGAGCAAGCAGAAGCGAGCAAGCAAAAACGAATTGAAAAAATGTTGCAGTCATCAATATACGCTAGTATGAGGATATTCATGGACCTCTCTGCTTGAATTTGGTGAGTGTAATGATGCAGAGCAATTGGCGTAGGAGCAAGTGAAGTACAACCTAGAAACAATGCGTGCCTCTATTCATTTCTTGTATTGTTTTTATTCTATTAAACAGATGATACAGATCCGGTGGTTGTCTGCGTGGCCACTGCTACAACAACTACTAGTGCAGGGTCTGCTGTTAATGGGGCCGACCTTGTGGCCGCCTCGGACAACGTAGCAGTTGTGAGTACAACTTTCAATCCAGACCTGGAGTCTTACACAGTTGGATCAACACCGGTGGTTGTCACCGTAGAAGATGCTGCTGGGAATTCTGCAAGCTGTACCGCAACGGTTAGCGTTACGGGTAAGACTACGAAGTCAGATACGGAAAAGAAATGGAATATTCTTAGGGCAGCTCCTTTGAAGCGTCTACTGTACACCATTTGCATTAGCGTTTAATTACCAACGTTGACTGTTGAACATTGCCTAAGATCTTCTCTCATAATGTTGATAAGTACCGTGTGCAATGTTAGATCGAACATTTTGTGCGCTTACCCGTGCTTGCGCATAGGTAATCTTGAGTAAATTGCCGCAATTTTCACTGGCAATGCAAATAAGATGTAGAAAAGAGAGTAGAGTACTTGTTGAGCAGTTTCTTTGAAGCGTCCGAGAATATAAGCATTCATCGACAGTGGACGCGGCAAAATAAATTCTGCTACATGTATAGTGCAGAGCAGTAGTGAAATGTTCGAAAGTGGTTATCAAGTGCCTATCGCATCATGTGTGTCTGTAAAATGGCTCTTATATAGTCAGCTAATGCGGAAGTGTAAGTCAGATGTTCGAAAGTCATATGGTGTAATTGGGGTCAAAATATTTAAAATATAGTAATTATAGCAGCAGGAGAGAAATAGAGAAAGAGTGACACAGATAGAGAGGTTGAGAGTACTCCCCTCCATGCACACAGACAATTCAAATCGATGTCCTCATGGGGAATAGACATTTCACTCGATCGCTTGATTACATCGATTCTTAAAATCACATTCCAAAGCGTATGCTTCAGTAGTGTCTGTAATGATTTCTCTTTTGAATATGTATAGGCCTCGATCCATACTAGTCTTGTCCTCATAGGGGAATCCGCCTAGGGGAGAAACGCATTATTTTCTTCATCGTCCTTTAACATACGTTTAATAGCATTTGCCTTCATTCCTTGGCGAGCATCCAGTTCAAGCCGCTATGCCATTTTTGAAGTTGCAAATTAAGGATTCTTCTGACAACAGGAAAATCTGTCGGACTGTGAAAGTGAAGTTTTCCTTGATACATGTACATTCCTCAGGGCCTTGCATTTTCATTTGAATTATGTTACAGAGTTGATTTGTAACTGCATGCCACAGCGTGTACAAGAGGTGTGCTAAGAAGAGATCTTTAAAGTGCCCTGGCATTTGCTCCGGGTTTAATTCGGCAAGGGTATTGGATTGGGGGGAGGGTTACGGTTGCAGTTAGGTTTCATTAGGTGAGGTTAGGATGAGAGTTGCAGGTTAGGCCTGGTGTTTGTTGGGTTCAGCGTTATGATTAAGAATTTGGTGAGTGTGTAGGAAATTGACGCAGAACAATTGGCGTAGGAGCAAGTGAAGTACAACCTAGAAACAATGCGTGCCTCTATTCATTTCTCGTATTGTTTTATTCTGTTAAACAGATGATACAGATCCGGAAGTTAGCTGCGAGGCCGTAACTGCATTTACTAGTCGAGGGTCTACTGTTGAATCGGAACAACTTGTGACAGAGGCCTCGGACAATGTATTGGTTGTGAGTACAACTTTCGATCCAGAGCAGACGTCTTACCCAGTTGGATCAACACCGGTGGTTGTCACCGTAGCAGATGCTGCTGGAAATGAGGCAAGCTGTACCGCAACGGTTACAGTTGAGGGTAAGTCTACGAAGTCAGATACGGAAAAGAAATGGAATATTCTTAGGGCAGCTCCTTTGAAGCGTCTACCGTACACCATTTGCATTAGCGTTTAATTACCAACGTTGACTGTTGAACATTGCCTAAGATCTTCTCTCATAATGTTGATAAGTACCGTGTGCAATGTTAGATCGAACATTTTGTGCGCTTACCCGTGCTTGCGCATAGGTAATCTTGAGTAAATTGCCGCAATTTTCACTGGCAATGCAAATAAGATGTAGAAAAGAGAGTAGAGTACTTGTTGAGCAGTTTCTTTGAAGCGTCCGAGAATATAAGCATTCATCGACAGTGGACGCGGCAAAATAAATTCTGCTACATGTATAGTGCAGAGCAGTAGTGAAATGTTCGAAAGTGGTTATCAAGTGCCTATCGCATCATGTGTGTCTGTAAAATGGCTCTTATAGTCAGCTAATGCGGAAGTGTAAGTCAGATGTTCCAAAGTCATATGGTGTAATTGGGGGTCAAAATATTTAAAATATAGTAATTATAGCAGCAGGAGAGAAATAGAGAAAGAGTGACACAGATAGAGAGGTTGAGAGTACTCCCCTCCATGCACACAGACAATTCAAATCGATGTCCTCATGGGGAATATACTAATGACATTTCACTCGATCGCTTGATTACATCGATTCTTAAAATCACATTCCAAAGCGTATGCTTCAGTAGTGTCTGTAATGATTTCTCTTTTGAATATGTATAGGCTTCGATCCATACTAGTCTTGTCCTCATAGGGGAATCCGCCTAGGGGAGAAACGCATTATTTTCTTCATCGTCCTTTAACATACGTTTAATAGCATTTGCCTTCATTCCTTGGCGAGCATCCAGTTCAAGCCGCTATGCCATTTTTGAAGTTGCAAATTAAGGATTCTTCTGACAACAGGAAAATCTGTCGGACTGTGAAAGTGAAGTTTTCCTTGATACATGTACATTCCTCAGGGCCTTGCATTTTCATTTGAATTATGTTACAGAGTTGATTTGTAACTGCATGCCACAGCGTGTACAAGAGGTGCGCTAAGAAGAGATCTTTAAAGTGCCCTGGCATTTGCTCCGGGTTTTAATTCGGCAAAGGTATTCGATTAGGGTGAGGGTTGCGGCTGCAGTCAGGTTTCACTAGGTGAGGTTGGGATGAGAGTTGGGGTTAGGTATGGTGTTTGTTGGGTTCAGCGTTATGATAAAGACTTTGGTGAGTGTGTAGGAAATCGACGCAGAACAATTGGCGCAGGAGCAAGTGAAGTACAACCTAGAAACAATGCGTGCCTATATTCATTTTTCGTATCGTTTTATTTGAACAGATGATGAGGCTCCGACACTCACTTGCGGCAAGGTGGGGGCAGGTACCAGCAGCCCTGTTGTTGGACAGCTGCAGCTTTTTGCTGAGGGCGGTGCGCCCGACGACAATGTGGAGGTGACGAGCATCACTGCTGAGCCAACTTTCGAGGGGGATGAGTACCCTCTCGGAGAGACAACCGTGGTTATCACCGCTGTAGATGCTGCTGGAAATGAGGCAAGCTGTACCGCAACGGTTACAGTTGAGGGTAAGTCTACGAAGTCAGATATGGAAAAGAAATGGAATATTCTTAGGGCAGCTCCTATGAAGCGTCTGCACCATTTGCATCAGCATTTACCAACGTTGACTGTTGAACATTGCCTAAGATCTTCTCTCATAATGTTGATAAGTACCGTGTGCAATGTTAGATCGAACATTTTGTGCGCTTACCCGTGCTTGCGCATAGGTAATCTTGAGTAAATTGCCGCAATTTTCACTGGCAATGCAAATAAGATGTAGAAAAGATGGTAGAGTACATATTGAGCAGTTTCTTTGTGTCTGACAGTGAAGTCCAGCAAGTAAACAGGTTTACTTGCATAATTTGAATATTAAGACACTGATAACGTTTAAATTTCACAGATAGGACATACATGACATATTCAGAATTCCTGCAAAGTTCTACAGAATTGATGTTGGCTGCAAAAGGGACATAGTATATTTAAAGAGAAACAAAACGTACATTGACTCATAAAATGGGTACATGACATTTTATTACTCAACTGCGGAGGAAGTATATGTTTTATTATTTTTTTTGGCAGTGGCATGACAAGTTGTTTCTATGATGGCAAGTGGGATATTGTTCCAAAAACTTCCATGCTTTTGAATCAGCCACTGTAAAAAAAATTCCTGTAGGTGAGAGTCTGGATTTAGGATTTAGGATTAGTGCGTCAGTTGTTGCACGAATGATGCAAGCTGGTCTACCGGTATATATTTGGAGGGTGTTATTAAGATATTCAGGTGTCCAATGATTTAGAATTTTGTAGACATCAAAAGAATGCGTTGTTCAGTTGTTGAGGTAACCAGTGGAGTTCTGTAATCAAGTGCAGTCTGAGATTGAAAGCCAAAGATTAATCTAGTGGCTCGATCCTGGACAGTTTCTTCTTCTTTCATCCCTTCCATATTTTGCAGACAAAACATAAAGACAATTGTAATAATCTAATGTTTATAGAATAAGCATGGTCATGACTATAGTCTTAGCATCAATGAATCTAGGAATCCGCCATATAACCCAGAGATAATGAGTACAATCATGCTATATACAGATTGTTTATATTAGAAGACAATGTGAACATTTTATTACTGCAAACCCCAAGATTTGTTACTATTAGAGGAAATAGGAATAAGATCATTTACATCAAGTTGCAGACAGGAAATATGTTCAAGATAGCAAGCAGAGGAAAAAAAAGAGACATGAATCCAGAGTTAGTACCGTTCAATTTTAATTCAAAGACATCCAAGTGTCTAATTCAGCAATGAATAGTGAGATTTGTAGAGTACTTTCATGAAAATTTTCCGGAGAGCATGGGTCAACAGATATATTCTACTGAATGACATCAGCATAGCTTCTTAACCATATTTATGGACAATGGCATAGTGTAGCCTCAGTCATTTCGGGGGGGGGGGGGGGGGACCAGTTTTTAGTCTACTAGGTCAGCGATTTTTCAACCTTTTGTAAGTCATGGCACCCTTTCAGGTTTAAAATGTTTGCATCACCCCATTCCAAATTCATCAAAGAGGATTTTTTTTTCCATCGGAGGGCGGTGAGGGCCTCTTGTCTGAACATCATGCTATCCAGATCCTTACTATTGCGAGCAAGCAGAAGCGAGCAAGCAAAAACGAATTGAAAAAATGTTGCAGTCATCAATATACGCTAGTATGAGGATATTCATGGACCTCTCTGCTTGAATTTGGTGAGTGTAATTGACGCAGAGCAATTGGCGTAGGAGCAAGTGAAGTACAACCTAGAAACAATGCGTGCCTCTATTCATTTCTTGTATTGTTTTTATTCTATTAAACAGATGATACAGATCCGGTGGTTGTCTGCGTGGCCACTGCTACAACAACTACTAGTGCAGGGTCTGCTGTTAATGGGGCCGACCTTGTGGCCGCCTCGGACAACGTAGCAGTTGTGAGTACAACTTTCAATCCAGACCTGGAGTCTTACACAGTTGGATCAACACCGGTGGTTGTCACCGTAGAAGATGCTGCTGGGAATTCTGCAAGCTGTACCGCAACGGTTAGCGTTACGGGTAAGACTACGAAGTCAGATACGGAAAAGAAATGGAATATTCTTAGGGCAGCTCCTTTGAAGCGTCTACTGTACACCATTTGCATTAGCGTTTAATTACCAACGTTGACTGTTGAACATTGCCTAAGATCTTCTCTCATAATGTTGATAAGTACCGTGTGCAATGTTAGATCGAACATTTTGTGCGCTTACCCGTGCTTGCGCATAGGTAATCTTGAGTAAATTGCCGCAATTTCACTGGCAATGCAAATAAGATGTAGAAAAGATGGTAGAGTACTTGTTGAGCAGTTTCTTTGAAGCGTCCGAGAATATAAGCATTCATCGACAGTGGACGTGGCAAAATAAATTCTGCTACATGTATAGTGCAGAGCAGTAGTGAAATGTTCGAAAGTGGTTATCAAGTGCCTATCGCATCATGTGTGTCTGTAAAATGGCTCTTATATAGTCAGCTAATGCGGAAGTGTAAGTCAGATGTTCGAAAGTCATATGGTGTAATTGGGGTCAAAATATTTAAAATATAGTAATTATAGCAGCAGGAGAGAAATAGAGAAAGAGTGACACAGATAGAGAGGTTGAGAGTACTCCCCTCCATGCACACAGACAATTCAAATCGATGTCCTCATGGGGAATATACTAATGACATTTCACTCGATCGCTTGATTACATCGATTCTTAAAATCACATTCCAAAGCGTATGCTTCAGTAGTGTCTGTAATGATTTCTCTTTTGAATATGTATAGGCCTCGATCCATACTAGTCTTGTCCTCATAGGGGAATCCGCCTAGGGGAGAAACGCATTATTTTCTTCATCGTCCTTTAACATACGTTTAATAGCATTTGCCTTCATTCCTTGGCGAGCATCCAGTTCAAGCCGCTATGCCATTTTTGAAGTTGCAAATTAAGGATTCTTCTGACAACAGGAAAATCTGTCGGACTGTGAAAGTGAAGTTTTCCTTGATACATGTACATTCCTCAGGGCCTTGCATTTTCATTTGAATTATGTTACAGAGTTGATTTGTAACTGCTTGCCACAGCGTGTACAAGAGGTGCGCTAAGAAGAGATCTTTAAAGTGCCCTGACATTTGCTCCGGGTTTTAATTCGGCAAGGGTATTGGATTGGGGGGAGAGTTACGGTTGCAGTTAGGTTTCATTAGGTGAGGTTAGGATGAGAGTTGCAGGTTAGGCCTGGTGTTTGTTGGGTTCAGCGTTATGATTAAGAATTTGGTGAGTGTGTAGGAAATTGACGCAGAACAATTGGCGCAGGAGCAAGTGAAGTACAACCTAGAAACAATGCGTGCCTCTATTCATTTTTCGTATCGTTTTATTTGAACAGATGATGAGGCTCCGACACTCACTTGCGGCAAGGTGGGGGCAGGTACCAGCAGCCCTGTTGTTGGACAGCTGCAGCTTTTTGCTGAGGGCGGTGCGCCCGACGACAATGTGGAGGTGACGAGCATCACTGCTGAGCCAACTTTCGAGGGGGATGAGTACCCTCTCGGAGAGACAACCGTGGTTATCACCGCTGTAGATGCTGCTGGAAATGAGGCAAGCTGTACCGCAACGGTTACAGTTGAGGGTAAGTCTACGAAGTCAGATATGGAAAAGAAATGGAATATTCTTAGGGCAGCTCCTATGAAGCGTCTGCACCATTTGCATCAGCATTTACCAACGTTGACTGTTGAACATTGCCTAAGATCTTCTCTCATAATGTTGATAAGTACCGTGTGCAATGTTAGATCGAACATTTTGTGCGCTTACCCGTGCTTGCGCATAGGTAATCTTGAGTAAATTGCCGCAATTTTCACTGGCAATGCAAATAAGATGTAGAAAAGATGGTAGAGTACATATTGAGCAGTTTCTTTGTGTCTGACAGTGAAGTCCAGCAAGTAAACAGGTTTACTTGCATAATTTGAATATTAAGACACTGATAACGTTTAAATTTCACAGATAGGACATACATGACATATTCAGAATTCCTGCAAAGTTCTACAGAATTGATGTTGGCTGCAAAAGGGACATAGTATATTTAAAGAGAAACAAAACGTACATTGACTCATAAAATGGGTACATGACATTTTATTACTCAACTGCGGAGGAAGTATATGTTTTATTAATTTTTTTGGCAGTGGCATGACAAGTTGTTTCTATGATGGCAAGTGGGATATTGTTCCAAAAACTTCCATGCTTTTGAATCAGCCACTGTAAAAAAAATTCCTGTAGGTGAGAGTCTGGATTTAGGATTTAGGATTAGTGCGTCAGTTGTTGCACGAATGATGCAAGCTGGTCTACCGGTATATATTTGGAGGGTGTTATTAAGATATTCAGGTGTCCAATGATTTAGAATTTTGTAGACATCAAAAGAATGCGTTGTTCAGTTGTTGAGGTAACCAGTGGAGTTCTGTAATCAAGTGCAGTCTGAGATTGAAAGCCAAAGATTAATCTAGTGGCTCGATCCTGGACAGTTTCTTCTTCTTTCATCCCTTCCATATTTTGCAGACAAAACATAAAGACAATTGTAATAATCTAATGTTTATAGAATAAGCATGGTCATGACTATAGTCTTAGCATCAATGAATCTAGGAATCCGCCATATAACCCAGAGATAATGAGTACAATCATGCTATATACAGATTGTTTATATTAGAAGACAATGTGAACATTTTATTACTGCAAACCCCAAGATTTGTTACTATTAGAGGAAATAGGAATAAGATCATTTACATCAAGTTGCAGACAGGAAATATGTTCAAGATAGCAAGCAGAGGAACAAAGAGCCATGAATCCAGAGTTAGTACCGTTCAATTTTAATTCGAAGACATCCAAGTGTCTAATTCAGCAATGAATAGTGAGATTTGTAGAGTACTTTCATGAAAATTTTCCGGAGAGCATGGGTCAACAGATATATTCTACTGAATGACATCAGCATAGCTTCTTAACCATATTTATGGACAATGGCGTAGTGTAGCCTCAGTCATTTCGGGGGGGGGGGACCAGTTTTTAGTCTACTAGGTCAGCGATTTTTCAACCTTTTGTAAGTCATGGCACCCTTTCAGGTTTAAAATGTTTGCATCACCCCATTCCAAATTCATCAAAGAGGATTTTTTTTTCCATCGGAGGGCGGTGAGGGCCTCTTGTCTGAACATCATGCTATCCAGATCCTTACTATTGCGAGCAAGCAGAAGCGAGCAAGCAAAAACGAATTGAAAAAATGTTGCAGTCATCAATATACGCTAGTATGAGGATATTCATGGACCTCTCTGCTTGAATTTGGTGAGTGTAATTGACGCAGAGCAATTGGCGTAGGAGCAAGTGAAGTACAACCTAGAAACAATGCGTGCCTCTATTCATTTCTTGTATTGTTTTTATTCTATTAAACAGATGATACAGATCCGGTGGTTGTCTGCGTGGCCACTGCTACAACAACTACTAGTGCAGGGTCTGCTGTTAATGGGGCCGACCTTGTGGCCGCCTCGGACAACGTAGCAGTTGTGAGTACAACTTTCAATCCAGACCTGGAGTCTTACACAGTTGGATCAACACCGGTGGTTGTCACCGTAGAAGATGCTGCTGGGAATTCTGCAAGCTGTACCGCAACGGTTAGCGTTACGGGTAAGACTACGAAGTCAGATACGGAAAAGAAATGGAATATTCTTAGGGCAGCTCCTTTGAAGCGTCTACTGTACACCATTTGCATTAGCGTTTAATTACCAACGTTGACTGTTGAACATTGCCTAAGATCTTCTCTCATAATGTTGATAAGTACCGTGTGCAATGTTAGATCGAACATTTTGTGCGCTTACCCGTGCTTGCGCATAGGTAATCTTGAGTAAATTGCCGCAATTTTCACTGGCAATGCAAATAAGATGTAGAAAAGAGAGTAGAGTACTTGTTGAGCAGTTTCTTTGAAGCGTCCGAGAATATAAGCATTCATCGACAGTGGACGCGGCAAAATAAATTCTGCTACATGTATAGTGCAGAGCAGTAGTGAAATGTTCGAAAGTGGTTATCAAGTGCCTATCGCATCATGTGTGTCTGTAAAATGGCTCTTATATAGTCAGCTAATGCGGAAGTGTAAGTCAGATGTTCGAAAGTCATATGGTGTAATTGGGGTCAAAATATTTAAAGTATAGTAATTATAGCAGTAGGAGAGAAATAGAGAAAGAGTGACACAGATAGAGAGGTTGAGAGTACTCCCCTCCATGCACACAGACAATTCAAATCGATGTCCTCATGGGGAATATACTAATGACATTTCACTCGATCGCTTGATTACATCGATTCTTAAAATCACATTCCAAAGCGTATGCTTCAGTAGTGTCTGTAATGATTTCTCTTTTGAATATGTATAGGCCTCGATCCATACTAGTCTTGTCCTCATAGGGGAATCCGCCTAGGGGAGAAACGCATTATTTTCTTCATCGTCCTTTAACATACGTTTAATAGCATTTGCCTTCATTCCTTGGCGAGCATCCAGTTCAAGCCGCTATGCCATTTTTGAAGTTGCAAATTAAGGATTCTTCTGACAACAGGAAAATCTGTCGGACTGTGAAAGTGAAGTTTTCCTTGATACATGTACATTCCTCAGGGCCTTGCATTTTCATTTGAATTATGTTACAGAGTTGATTTGTAACTGCATGCCACAGCGTGTACAAGAGGTGCGCTAAGAAGAGATCTTTAAAGTGCCCTGACATTTGCTCCGGGTTTTAATTCGGCAAGGGTATTGGATTGGGGGGAGGGTTACGGTTGCAGTTAGGTTTCATTAGGTGAGGTTAGGATGAGAGTTGCAGGTTAGGCCTGGTGTTTGTTGGGTTCAGCGTTATGATTAAGAATTTGGTGAGTGTGTAGGAAATTGACGCAGAACAATTGGCGTAGGAGCAAGTGAAGTACAACCTAGAAACAATGCGTGCCTCTATTCATTTCTCGTATTGTTTTATTCTGTTAAACAGATGATACAGATCCGGAAGTTAGCTGCGAGGCCGTAACTGCATTTACTAGTCGAGGGTCTACTGTTGAATCGGAACAACTTGTGACAGAGGCCTCGGACAATGTATTGGTTGTGAGTACAACTTTCGATCCAGAGCAGACGTCTTACCCAGTTGGATCAACACCGGTGGTTGTCACCGTAGCAGATGCTGCTGGAAATGAGGCAAGCTGTACCGCAACGGTTACAGTTGAGGGTAAGTCTACGAAGTCAGATACGGAAAAGAAATGGAATATTCTTAGGGCAGCTCCTTTGAAGCGTCTACCGTACACCATTTGCATTAGCGTTTAATTACCAACGTTGACTGTTGAACATTGCCTAAGATCTTCTCTCATAATGTTGATAAGTACCGTGTGCAATGTTAGATCGAACATTTTGTGCGCTTACCCGTGCTTGCGCATAGGTAATCTTGAGTTAATTGCCGCAATTTTCATTGGCAATGCAAATAAGATGTAGAAAAGATGGTAGAGTACATATTGAGCAGTTTCTTTGTGTCTGACAGTGAAGTCTAGCAAGTAAACAGGTTTACTTGCATAATTTGAATATTAAGACACTGATAACGTTTAAATTTCACAGATAGGACATACATGACATATTCAGAATTCCTGCAAAGTTCTACAGAATTGATGTTGGCTGCAAAAGGGACATAGTATATTTAAAGAGAAACAAAACGTACATTAACTCATAAAATGGGTACATGACATTTTATTACTCAACTGCGGAGGAAGTATATGTTTTATTAATTTTTTGGCAGTGGCATGACAAGTTGTTTCTATGATTGCAAGTGGGATATTGTTCCAAAAACTTCCATGCTTTTGAATCAGCCACTGTAAAAAAAATTCCTGTAGGTGAGAGTCTGGATTTAGGATTTAGGATTAGTGCGTCAGTTGTTGCACGAATGATGCAAGCTGGTCTACCGGTATATATTTGGAGGTTAGGCCTGGTGTTTGTTGGGTTCAGCGTTATGATTAAGAATTTGGTGAGTGTGTAGGAAATTGACGCAGAACAATTGGCGTAGGAGCAAGTGAAGTACAACCTAGAAACAATGCGTGCCTCTATTCATTTCTCGTATTGTTTTATTCTGTTAAACAGATGATACAGATCCGGAAGTTAGCTGCGAGGCCGTAACTGCATTTACTAGTCGAGGGTCTACTGTTGAATCGGAACAACTTGTGACAGAGGCCTCGGACAATGTATTGGTTGTGAGTACAACTTTCGATCCAGAGCAGACGTCTTACCCAGTTGGATCAACACCGGTGGTTGTCACCGTAGCAGATGCTGCTGGAAATGAGGCAAGCTGTACCGCAACGGTTAGCGTTACGGGTAAGTCTACGAAGTCAGATACGGAAAAGAAATTGAATATTCTTAGGGCAGCTCCTTTGAAGCGTCTACCGTACACCATTTGCATTAGCGTTTAATTACCAACGTTGACTGTTGAACATTGCCTAAGATCTTCTCTCATAATGTTGATAAGTACCGTGTGCAATGTTAGATCGAACATTTTGTGCGCTTACCCGTGCTTGCGCATAGGTAATCTTGAGTTAATTGCCGCAATTTTCACTGGCAATGCAAATAAGATGTAGAAAAGATGGTAGAGTACATATTGAGCAGTTTCTTTGTGTCTGACAGTGAAGGCTAGCAAGTAAAGAGGTTTACTTGCATAATTTGAATATTAAGACACTGATAACGTTTAAAATTCACAGATAGGACATACATTACATATTCAGAATTCCTGCAAAGTTCTACAGAATTGATGTTGGCTGCAAAAGGGACATAGTATATTTAAAGAGAAACAAAACGTACATTAACTCATAAAATGGGTACATGACATTTTATTACTCAACTGCGGAGGAAGTATATGTTTTATTAATTTTTTTGGCAGTGGCATGACAAGTTGTTTCTATGATTGCAAGTGGGATATTGTTCCAAAAACTTCCATGCTTTTGAATCAGCCACTGTAAAAAAAATTCCTGTAGGTGAGAGTCTGGATTTAGGATTTAGGATTAGTGCGTCAGTTGTTGCACGAATGATGCAAGCTGGTCTACCGGTATATATTTGGAGGGTGTTATTAAGATATTCAGGTGTCCAATGATTTAGAATTTTGTAGACATCAAAAGAATGCGTTGTTCAGTTGTTGAGGTAACCAGTGGAGTTCTGTAATCAAGTGCAGTCTGAGATTGAAAGCCAAAGATTAATCTAGTGGCTCGATCCTGGACAGTTTCTTCTTCTTTCATCCCTTCCATATTTTGCAGACAAAACATAAAGACAATTGTAATAATCTAATGTTTATAGAATAAGCATGGTCATGACTATAGTCTTAGCATCAATGAATCTAGGAATCCGCCATATAACCCAGAGATAATGAGTACAATCATGCTATATACAGATTGTTTATATTAGAAGACAATGTGAACATTTTATTACTGCAAACCCCAAGATTTGTTACTATTAGAGGAAATAGGAATAAGATCATTTACATCAAGTTGCAGACAGGAAATATGTTCAAGATAGCAAGCAGAGGAACAAAGAGCCATGAATCCAGAGTTAGTACCGTTCAATTTTAATTCAAAGACATCCAAGTGTCTAATTCAGCAATGAATAGTGAGATTTGTAGAGTACTTTCATGAAAATTTTCCGGAGAGCATGGGTCAACAGATATATTCTACTGAATGACATCAGCATAGCTTCTTAACCATATTTATGGACAATGGCGTAGTGTAGCCTCAGTCATTTCGGGGGGGGGGGGGGGGGGGGGGGGACCAGTTTTTAGTCTACTAGGTCAGCGATTTTTCAACCTTTTGTAAGTCATGGCACCCTTTCAGGTTTAAAATGTTTGCATCACCCCATTCCAAATTCATCAAAGAGGATTTTTTTTTCCATCGGAGGGCGGTGAGGGCCTCTTGTCTGAACATCATGCTATCCAGATCCTTACTATTGCGAGCAAGCAGAAGCGAGCAAGCAAAAACGAATTGAAAAAATGTTGCAGTCATCAATATACGCTAGTATGAGGATATTCATGGACCTCTCTGCTTGAAACTATCCCGTTTCTAGATTTTGAAACATCCCCCGTGCTCTCCGCACATAGTACGCCACTCTTTATTGATGATATAGAGATGGGGGTGATGTGTGAACAAATGAGAATTGTTCCATGCAGCACGGACCCTTGCGGTACCCCGAAATCTACAACCCATGGCTGCAGCTATTTTACCCTAGATGACCAGCAGGAGACTTCATTCATCCACTCGCCCTGCTAGAGGGTTTTTCTGCTTATCAGAAAATGTGACTTTAGAAATGATCCACTGTCGAGCTTCAGTCGAGCAAGACGAGTAAAGAGATTTCTGTTCTAAAGCCTCGATTATGATATAAATTGCCATATGTACGGTATAGGGATTCTAATTTTTTTTTACCGTCATTGTATTCCAGATGATGAGAAGCCAGAACTGACGCTTCCAACTAAAGAGGAATTGGAATTCTGCACCGATCATGGGCTATATTACAGGTTATTCGATTTAGAGGATAGGCGTATACCTCGACCAACCTGTTTCGACACAGTTGATGGAGAAATTTCAGAAATATCCCTGACACCTTATACCGAGGGTGCATTTGGTATTGGGGGCTGTGACATCGTAGCAACTTGTGTAGATGAAGCTGGAAACTCGTGCGAAAAAACATACACTGTCCAAATTATAGGTAAGTACGTGTAGACCCTAGGCCAATTTTCCTCATGGTTGTCTTTTTTTGGGGGGGGGGGCGGGGCTGTCTCTGTGCAAAATATTGTTATCATCTGTTATGCCTTCATGCTTATTGCAAAATATTTTGTCCATCCTTTATGAGAATTTATTAATTAATACGAAGAATAAATATAGAAGCAACTAGATGTATTAAATTGGATTGAATTGAAACTCACGTTAGCTGGGGGAAACTACCATGAGTAGCATTGAGTAAGCGCTACAAGCCTAAAGAGGGATCAGCGATTTGCGAAGGAGGGGGGAGGGGTTGTGGGGCTGTTGCCCAGCAAAACATTTTTATCATCTGTGTTTTCTTTAAAATGCCAAGTCTTTCCCCCTACCTTCCCTTCTCAAGATAGATCAGCAATTCAGCAAATATGTTCATGCTTAACTCAACTTTGACCCCGATAAGGTATTTCAATAGCAGAAAAAAAAAATAGGGATGTCAGATTTCACAAAGATTTTAAGTTGAACTTATCTCCAAGTTGGACTTAAAAATTATGGAAAGCCGTTAGCATCTTTGAAAATATTTTGTAGCAGTTATTTTAAAAGGCATAAAATGTTAATTTCAAATTATTCATATTTTCTATTATCAAGGAGATTTCATATTTTTAATGTGTAATTTATGAAAAGTCTAAAATAGTTTAATTTTTTATTTAACATATTTTTTTTAAAGGCTACAAATGGCTCTCCATAATATTTAAGTCCAACTTAGAGTTCAGTTCGACTTAGGATCTTTGTGAAACATCCCCCGGGAGACATATTGAACTGGTACAATGTCCAGGAATATTTCACTTTAGAAGTTGTCGGAACATTTTGCCTAGCTCTATCCCGCGGGCTTTGGACAATCCCAAGCTTGTTTAGCTGGGATAAACATACTCTGATATGCATCTTACATACTTGCTCATGGGCGTGAATAAGCCAGTTGGCAGATACAGGCTGAGGAGGATGGGCTGGCAGATAAAGTTCATTTGTACCAAAATTGTGTAACCCATTGAGAATCATGCTCATGAAAGTTACATACCGTAATCATTATTCATTTATTCACCAATGTTACATTCTCTGGAAGTGGAAGTATTCTTCTCTATAGAGAGCAAGGAAAAGGTATTCATGAAGCACCTCCATCACTTTTGCAGTGATTAATCTGAAATGCACGAAGTGTGACGTCTCCAAGTGTCAAAGATCTGTGGATATTTGGGGGTCATTTGTACCAAAGATAACTATCGGTATGATAACTGGTCTTTTATGATTTAATATTATCATAATTTATTTATTTTGATGCTTGAGCTTTTTTTAAATTGTTAAATGTGGCTTCTCATTAGAAGATTAACATGTGTGTTTTTGTTTTTTGACAGACTGTGAAAAATGTGAATTCCAGCCCGCAGACGCCCTTTCGCTTGAAACTGATAGCGGAGAAAGCTTTGCTACTGTAAAAGTTGGTGGCAACTTTGTCTTGCCAACAGTCACAGACAACTCACGGGATAAACCTACCCCAACCTGCTCTATCCAGGACGTGGAACTTCCAGCCACTGTTGAACTTGATGGTGCTTGCGTTGTCAACGCCACTATCCATTGTGTTGCCGAAGATTCCGCTGGGCATCCCTGCGAACTCGACATATCTGTTCAAGTTTCCGGTGAGTAGATCTATGTGATGGGAGGATCTAACAAAGTTAAAGGGCAATCCAACCCTTGTAATAAGTTCATTTGAATGAAATCAGGGCCCTGCTTCATCAAACTTGATATCAATAAAAAGTTACAAGCTACTGTTATAAGCTACTGTTATAAGCTACCGAAATCATGTCATGTGATTGGCCGAGAGCAAATTTGTCATAGAAATTTAGCATTTGTTATAGATAAAAAGTTTTATGAAACGGGCCCCAGAAACCTCAGAGAAGTAGCATGACGAAAGTTTAAAATAAATCAGACCAATAATAAGAGAGTTATATGAATGTTTTAAAACTTGAATACCTTGAATACCTTGAATACCGAAGCTTCTGGAAGAAAGCCGTCTCCAGCTGCCAAGCTTCCAGGTCTAACTTCAAGGGGGGGGGGGGGGGATGTCCCAGCTTCTGGGTCTTGCACCATAGTCGTTTTTCATCTGTATCTTGCTGGCTGGTTCATATCAGGAATGTCATAATTGGAGTGTCTACTGGGAGAATGGTGAATTATACTGCTCCTTCTTCCAGTGTTTGTCAAGTCTGGCTTTAAAGCTGTTCACCGAGGGTGCAGATACCACCGACTCAGGGAGGGAGTTCCAGTTGTTGAGGACCCTGTGGCTAAATGAGTCTTGCCTGAGTTTGGTGTTGCACCTGGGTTTGGTCAGTTTGAATGCATGCCTTCTCGTTGTTGAATTGATTGCAGGTGTGAAGAATTGGATTCCACTTTAAAGCTACCGGTATGCACTTTTTTTCTGGAGCTAATCTATGAAGTCATTAAATTCAACGTTACATGTATGGCAAATTTCTTCTACCTATCGTGGTTTTACATTTTTTGAAGTTAAATTTACAACGAGCAATTGACAATAACACACATTTTCAAGTCGATAACGATGCCCATGTCAAATTTTGGTGGACAAATTTGTAGGCCAAAAAAATGAAAAGTCCAAATTCCAATGGCATTTGAAAGATAATACTAATTTAGAACTTCCCTCAAACTAGAAGGGCTTGAAATTGTCTTTTCAGTGTGGGAAAATAGCGACCGTTAGTTGTATCGAATTTAGGGAGCGCGCTCGTTTAATTAAATAGTCTGATTGTCAGACCCTTGTACCGAATGGTTGTACGTTTTGTGCTGCACACAGATTCAATCAGCTTAATTTTTGCCATTACAAGAAGTGGGTTATTGACGTGGACAAATGCTCATGTATCCTTTACAGCTCCTTTTATGTATGTTATTACTAAAGAAAAAAAAGGAGTCTGTCAGTCACTCACTAGTGTCTGGCAGTGAAGTCTAGAAGGTAAACAGGTTTCTTTGCTTAATTTGAATACTACAATGTAGGACACTGCTAACGTTTACATTTCACAGACAGGACATACGTGACATATTCATAATTCCTGCAAAGTTCTACAGAATTTGATGTTGGCTGCAAAAGGGATACACTACCTTTATAGCCTATAAGAGCACCTGAAGAGCTCTCTGAACGCTGCTGAGATGTGCGACCTCACATGTTGAACATGATTTGCACAAGCAGACGATGTCCCATGACATCTCACACATTTTCAGTGCCTGTTTTGTCATCTTCTCTTCAGTTATTTCTCTTATATCACTTCCGCCAGGCGAAATGTTTAATCTATTGCCTCACTCTAAACCCAGCACATGGTATTATTTTGATGAAAAATGCAGCGATAAAAAATAAAGGAATCCGTCACTTGTAAACAAAATATGACGCCATTGTATTTTCAGCTGCATACACCGCGGTATGTTCGGCTTCCAAGAGGGAACAAATGCCATCCATGCTATCATTCCGGGGGGTTTTCAACTTGAAAGTGTGGTTTCTTTGATTGTTCATTAACCCCTATCCTGTGTATTTACATACAAAGGCATTTAGTTATCAGAATCGGTTTCATATCCTTTTTGAATGGTGTAAAAGGCCATCACATTTATATACACTAAACTCATTATAGTTTGAGAAATAATAGCGTTGCAATTATGTTAATTCATTATTGGATGTTGTCTGCTTGGGCAGGATTGGTTCATAATATGATGTCATTAAAACATCGTTATTTTTCTGGCGAATACCTCTCGTCTATCCCAGATGCTATGGAGGTGGTTTTATTTGAATTTTAATATACCCGATATGTAGTTGACCTAAAACTTGTATGATGGCCATCTTTTAGCTTACCAGTTACTGGTGATACATTATTTGCCATATTTGTGATTTTCTTTGAATGGGCACTTTGAGTGTCTGGGCACACAACCCCCCATCATACTACCTTTTCTTCTACTACTACTACTAATACTACTACTACTACTACTACTACTACTACTACTACTACCACTACCACTACTACTACTACTACTACTACTGCTACTGCTACTGCTACTACTTCTACTACTACTGCTGCTGCTACTACTACAAATACTACTAATACATGTAATACTACCTCTATTACTATTACTACTGCTACTAGTACAACTACAGTTTCATGACTCGAAAATGTAAAATTTCTTGATCCCTCGCTCAATATATACTTTTACTTAGCTCTGTGAACCATCTGCATTTCTTAGGCTGACGTAGACCTAGATTCAATTGTGTGTTTGCTGGAGCTATGAAGAAATAATAAGCCATAATGTTTGTCCCACCTAGCAACAACTACAAACGTATGCAATTCGCATTGTGACTGTATTGAGATGATGTAATTATTCGTAACATGCGAGTGAAATTATTTGTATCAAGGCACTTCACAGAGCATTCAATTTGGTTCCATTACAAAAGTGGCTTTACATGTAGCTGATGTGCAGGAAAATCCTCAGGAGTTGTAAAGATAAATAGGACTCACAATTAATTCTCTGCAATTTTGTATTAACAGATAAAGAAGCACCTGTCATCACGAACCTGCCAGATCAACGCAGATTTACCTTACCACGCAAGCCTTATTTCTTCAACGATCCCGCTGCAGATGATGCCATCCCGAATGCAGAATGCACGGATAATAACATTGATGGTGCCTACCCTGCTACCAGTCCATACCTTCTGAATACGCATTTTGCTATCGGTGAATGTGATATAGGACTCTACTGTGAAGACAAGTGTGGGGGAAGATCTGAGGATGAATACAAGCTAACTGTCGTCCGTAAGTATGGCATTATGAAGATGAAGTTCTATATATGTTTGCATTTCTATAAAAAAATTGACCTAAATTTAAACAAACAAAAGTCTTCCCACAGTCTAAACCCTTTGAGCTAACTGTAGTTCAATGGAATTTGATGAAGATATTACAGAAATAGGCGTACGCCCCAGTGGCGACACCTCTTAATTAATATTGACTTTGTGTACGCATCATAGAAACGTTAAAAGGGTAATTTGGGGGGATGTTCTAACATAGTTGCGTATATGGGCCGATTTGGAACAAAGGGGGGCATTTTTTTTCTAGGGGTACAAATCACCTAAGAAAAATAATTTGTATTCAGCTAGAAATATGTTAAAGAAGATATAAACTTTATCTATCATGAATAAATCATGATTATCACAATCATTTCATAAAAAGAGGTAAGAAAAATGTATTCCAACTTTATGGGCAACAGTTTATCTTGACTTTTTGTGACATTAATACTATCAAAAAAATTGAGAGCCAAGCGTGGAGCTGAAAAAATGAAGAATCCCCCCAAAATTTAAATGGATGTAAAGTTTCAGGTTTCACATTTCACAAAAAATAATTCACATAATTGTCAAAATTAGAACATAAAATGAAATATACTAAAAGTTTCACATTATATAATCAATTCTTTGTAAAGATGTCAAAATTAATTGTATTGAAATAATTGAATAGTAGGTTATACAGGTTGAAATGTGAGGAACCTGTTGAAAAGCTCAGCTGGTAGATTATAGGTTCCCCTAAAAAAGACTAACATTTGATTGAAGTGGTTGCAATGGTGAAGGATGTACATCATAGTTGTATCGTTATTATCATTATCATGTACATCATTATTTCTGAGATGAATTTTGCAATAGTATACATAGTATATAAGTGATGCATGTGGATGAGTTCATTATACGATCTGTCCGCACTCGAGTAGATGCATATTATACAGCTTCAACAAAAGCAGATAGATTGTTTAATGAAGCAATGAAAACATTCATCATTTGTTTTATATACAAAACTCCTAGGTCCCTTTCATATGATGTAAAACAAAATAATTTAAAGATTGCTTCGCTGTCAAATAAATCCAAATTTTAATAGGCTTTCGTGTGCATACAGAGACAAGCGCACTTTAATACCTCTACCGTGTGAGTCAAAAAAAAGTTTACAACTAAAAAATTGCTAATTATTTTAAAAATCATCTATGGACAGTAAATTATTATACACCTTATGAAAGAGTGTTTTATTTCAAATCATTTGATATCATTTTTGTGTGGTATCTGTATGTGTTCACGCTTGGATGAACAGGAGGCATTGTTTGCAAGAGTGCAAAAATCGACTTGCGCCAAAGTGATGCCTACAGTATGCATTATGCTGTGATTAGCGGATGAGAGAATGAATTGATTGTATCAAAATGAAGTGCATTGCTTATGCTTTTTGCAGAAGGAAAGTCACACACACACACACACGCACAAATGTTGTTGATATTTGATATGTGTGGCTTGATTGATGTTGTTAGGGATGTTATTTGGATCTGCAAAGACCGAATCAATACCCAAATCCCAATTGTTTTATTCAAACATCACATAAGCAACTTTGGTGCAAGTCGATTTTTGCACTCTAGCAAACAATGCCTCCTGTTTATCCAAGCGTGAACACATACCACACAAAAATGATACCAAATGAATTGGGATAGAATACTCTTTCATAAGATGTATAATAATTTACTGTTCATATATAATTTTTTTAATAATTAGCAAATTTCTTGGTGTAAACTTTTTTTTGACTCGCACTGTATATATGTTAACGCACAGTGCTACACAAGTGTAGGCCTGGTACCAGTAACTTTTGCACAACTTTTATGACAAAACATGGGGTATAGTCTCAGTACCGGTAAATAAACCACATGTGACCGCATTTGACCAATCAGTTTGTAAAGCAGGTGAATTAAATAGTTGATAACCAGGGGTTAAGGTGAGGTCTATTGCTCTACCTGCAGTGAATGAACCAATGAAATTTATTTAATCCCTGATCCAACATTATTCCTAACATTTACCTTAAAGGAAACCTCATCCCAAAGAATAAGTGTATACATGTAGGTATGCTGAAAGTTGAGATTTATTCCTACCAAAGTACATCACGTTATCAAGAAAATGGCCAAGCCCACTTCGTGCTGAGAATCTTTACATTACATCGTACATGTATTCAAGCGGCCTTGGTGAAGAGCTCCAACAAGGCGTTGTGCAGTATATCACGTCATAACTAGGCTACAAGTACAATATGATTTAATAATCCAAAAAAATGTTCATTTTCTTTCTGTCCCAATAGCCTATGTTGCACCACAGTGTACTGACCCAATCAGCGGACACCTGAAACTTGCTTGGTACGCAGACAAGTTGGCAGCACATGGAGGGAAATATATTGAAGACCTTCAAGCGGTCTTGTCATGTAGCGGAGAGTTTGAGATCACGGGAAATCAGGAGATTGTATGTGTGGAGGTCGAAGGACAACTGCAATGGGACAAAACACCGGGCACATGTGGTGAGAACATTTTTCAAGGCAATTTGACTCTGTGTTGTTATAAGGGACATGTCAGTGGCGGATCAAGAGGGGGTGGTGGGGGGGGGGGGTGGGCCTCCTCGCCCTCCCCCCGACGAATTTGGCCCCCCTCCCCCTTGCCGCCAGCTGGATCCGCCCGTGGGCACATGTCATGCACAGCTTCCTGATCTAAACAAAGAAAATAATCAAAATATGTTCTGGGAACAAGGGTTATTATCCCACAAGTGACATGTATATGTGTCCCAGTACTTAATCACAATTATAATTGATAAATGACACATATTTGGAAACCTTAGATCCTTCTCTTTCATTTGCTGTAACCATATGATGCATATTTCACTCATGAGTGATTAAGATGAATTTGAAGAGAGGAAACCAAAAAGTCATTTGGCGGATGGTATCTGAATTTCAAAGAGAAAATCACATTTCTAGAAAGTTGAGTTTCTGCCCTTTCATATGACACCTCAGTCAGGAAAAATGAGCTAGGAATTAAAAAGTTCTGTTTGTTTAAAGTAGTGCTTGCATTTCCATAATTTTATTGAACGAATTTGTTTTCACTGGCTGCCTGCCGTAGCAACAAACAAAATTAACAAAAGACTTTGTTGACAATCAGCCGTAGACGAAAGACTTTATGCATTGCAATGATCTCTTCTAAAGTTCTAAAGTGAGCCCTGGTCAATTTCAAAGAATTGGGCAACTTTCGACAGTAACAGCTTTCCCTGTTATTATCATTACTGCAGTGGATGATAATGGTACATATTTGATCAGTGCTCGATCCTGATAAATGCCTCAATTTTCTTCTATCAATGCATCATATAATGTTAAATAAGTATAGTTTAGTACCTCCCTCCCAAATGTTCCCTTCTAAAGTCCTAAAGTGAGCCCTGGGGGTGTTTCACAAAGATCCTAAGTTAAACTTATCTCTTAGTTGGATTTAAAAATTATGGAAAGCTGTTAGCATCATTGAAAATATTTTGTAAAAGTTATTTCAAAAGGCATAAAATGTTGATTCAAATCATTTATATTTTCTATTATCAAGGAGATTTCATGTTATTGATGTGGAATTTATGAAAAGTCTATTTACTTGAGTTTTTGCTTTTGAATATATTTATTTTAAGGCTACAAATGGCTCTCCATAATTTTTAAGTCCAACTTAGTGTTAAGTTTGACTTACATGTACTTAAGATCTTTGTGAAACACCCCCTGGTCAATTTTAAAGAACTACATGTAGCAAAAAGTATTGCGGTAGCTCACTGCTATACATCGGCTTGGATAAGTTGTGGAATGTTGTGAATATTAATTTAGAGGAATGTTCAATCGCTGGGGCTCTTAATACAAAGTATACCATCATATTTTTCAAATTTTGAAAATGCAAGTAGGATAACAGGATTTTTGGTTCATTCCTTGTGCCTCCTTGAAAAAGAAAAAGTGTATTTGTAAGATCTAGACCAAATGTTGGCCTTTCAGTTTAGGCCTATGTTTAATATTAAACATACATGTACTTAGAACACATTATGTGGAATTACATTTTAGATGATTCATACAGACTCTATTTCTCATAACATGGTCCCATTTCACAAAACTTGTCATCAGTGACAAATAACAGTTTTTCTTATAAGCCAGTGAAATCCCTGCTTCTGTTGGTTATCAGCAGATTTGTCACTGATTTTTGTAATTTGTCATTGCAAAAAGGCTTTGTGAAACGGGTCCCTGATCACTAAAATATCATATAGGTTGTGACACCAACTTCAAACCTGAAATGGTTTTGTTTTTAATCCCTAGAGTAGAGTGAGAATGGGATTTTGTTGCACATGACATTAAAGACCGACTAATTGAAGGTTTAGCAAGTGGTATACAATTACTTACCAGCAATTTCAACTATTTAAATTTAAAAAAGAATTAGAGGTCAACAGTAAAACTATCTTGTGTTTCTCATTTTATGTTCGACCACTCGGATTAAGCAGCATAATAACACTAATGTTTTTATGCTGCATTCTTCTTGAATAATCCTGCAATAAGATGATAAGTATATAATCCACTTAATCAAATAATTGTGATTTCTCATTCCCTATCCTAATCCCTTTTTGGGGGTGCTTTTCTCCTTCTTTCATTTTTCTGTTTGCAGAGGAAATGGAGGAGGTTAATGAATTTAGTTGCCAAGGGTCATACACAGCTGTGAGGGATTTGGATGACAAAGAAGGGTTTTGCTATCGATTTGTGGACACAAAGGGTACCTGGGAAGAGATGAAGACGGAATGCGAATCTGACGGTGGACATCTGGCCGATATGGGCTCTTACATTGAACATTCCGCCTTGCTGGGATTTCTGAACAATATCAATAGACTGCAATCGGTGGCCTGGATTTCTACCAATGACCGGGAGAACGAGGGCGTGTACCTTGACTCCAGTGGCCAGCCGGTACCCCTCACCCTCTGGTGCCCTGATGCCCCTGAGGATCCAGATCAAATACCAGCAAACCAAGACTGCGCTATCACATCCACAATGGGATGGAACGACAATCTCTGCGATAATAAATACTTTGCCATTTGTGAACGTGACATATCCTACCTCCCCTAAAAAACAGAATTTCGTACAGCAGGCATAAGCAAATTCAAAAGCCATCTTTTTGATCAACCCGCAATTGAACTGTACCTGCTTGAGTTAAATCACTGGCTAACTTTACATGGCACCGCACAAACAATAGATAAATATATCTATTTGACATGCGTGTACATACTTCTAGACCAAATTGTCTGGGGGGATGTCATACCTTTTGGTAGAAACTACACTATTTTCTAGGTAGCAATTTCTTGCTCTGGATATTCCAAAATGCCTGTAAATGCTAGTGAACAGGTACATCTAAACCTGCTTCATACTGTCACTTAAACTGGAATTCATAAGTATTTCAAATACCGGTAGTACTCTAATTGAAATTTTAGCATAGTTGTGAAATCTTGTTTCCTGCTGTTTTTATACCCAAGAATTAAATCACCAACGAATTTGGTCTTATGCTTGCTCACGAAACTATTGACCCGACTATGGCTTTGCCTTCGTAACTTTATATGTTACGTCGATTTAGAAAACAAATTAGGAAAGAGAGCGCAGAATCTTTACCACTATCCTTCTATCATATAACGTTTATCTATTTAACATCTATCATTTCATCTATTTAACATCTATCATTTTAACAATTTATGTTTTGGGGTGGCAGAGGGTTTGTGTTGTCTGTAAACTATTTAAGTAAATTTAAGGAATTCAAATCTAGTTTTAAATTGTTGTCAAACATTCAACAATGAGGAATGAGAAATAAGGTCATTTTAAAAACTTGACATAAGTTTGTTTATTCAAGAAATCTGAAGAAAATGAATTTAAGTGATTTTTTGAATGATTTGAGCAGTGAATGTTGGCAAAACGTCCTTTTAGAAACTGATGCTAATAATGCCTATGAAATATGGTGTAGAAAATTTTGTTTGGTACTGGATAAACATGCCCCTCTTATCTCATCATATTCTTCTACCAAGCTCAACAATCATTTTGTTTGGTAAGAAGGAGGCTGTTTAAGGTCTGATGGTTTGAATAACAAGAAACTTCATTCAAACAACACCTCAAATAAAAAATAATGAAAGGGACATTTTTTTCTAGCTCTTCCCTCATCATTCTGCCATAGAAAAAAATACACGGGCTATAGGCAAATGTAGTATTTTAATGGGAAGAGATATACTACATTATTAATTGTTAATATTAAGTGATATGTAATTGTTTTCTTGTAGAATGTCTTATTTAAAATATGTTAAGCTTTACACAGTGCTGTGTATTAACTTAGAAGCATGCATGTATCCGATACATAATAAACCAGTTCATAGTTGCAGTCTGAGCATGAGCAGATAATGGTCATTGCAGACCAAATTGTGAAATTCATGAAGACAAAACACTGGATACGTGCTCATGAAAGTTATGTAATCATTATTCATTGATGCACAAGCAGTGCACTCCACGATACACAGGTTGAAGTATTCTTTGAAACGGGAAACAAAGGCTATTTTTGTAGCACCTCCATCGTTGTAGGAGTTATTATTTCAAAATGTACAAAATGGGACCTCTTCATGTTTTGAAGATCTGTGGATATTCAGAGTCATTTGGGATATGTGCTAACTGTGAACTGGTCTATTGTGCAGAAGTATGCTAATTTTCTTGTTTGTTTCTTTCCTCCTTCAATTTCCCAATGCAAGACATTGTTTGATCACTGAAATGCGCAATAAATCTTATTTAGTCTGAAACTATTACAAAACTGTTTGTTGCACTTTTTTAAAAAAAACTTCATTTCATATTGGTTTTCAACATCAAGGAATGTGATTTTAAGAGCAAAAGAAAAGAAATTATTTTCAATATGTATTATGTAATGTAATCAATTTAATGTACAAATCTTTGTTCCGGGCTTCGTTACCACTTATGTCATTTAGCTGTTTATATGAATAATAATTATATTTCGATAGAAGGTAAATTGCATACTGGGTACGTTAATTGTTGCTAGGTAGGACAAACATTATGGCTTGTACCTAACCAACCACACGTTATGTATGCAATTCGCATTCTGACCATTGATAGACAAATATTTGTAACAGGTGAATGAAATCATTTATGACGAGTCACTTAACAAAGATTTGTGCATTGAATTTGATTACATTATTAAGAAAATGGCCTACTGGGTTAGCTGTAGGACAAGTTCAGATAACCTATGGAATAAAGCATTATCGAAAATCAAAGTGGATACTTCTTATTGTTCAAAATTTTCATATAAATTAACCGTCAACATAAACTATCATAAAATACTCTACCAACATCAATTAAGATCAAGTGCTGAACTTTCACGCTTGGAAGGGCTGGCGTTAAACCGTTAGAAGGTCTGATTGAGATAATTGCAAAAAGTAGAGCAAGTAGCCATTCAAACGTTAATAAACATGCATCTGCAAGACACTTTGGTTCAACAATAAAAGCAAAGAATGAGAAAAAATGGAGGATTGAGCTCTGGATGTCAACTGTAGTCTCAAGACTGCATGGTTTTGACAAGTACAGTTTAAGATGCCTCTTCTCTTTTGTTTCTCATGATTGTGTTTTTTTCATTGGTTTAATTAATTTGACTAAACAATATAGTAATGCTCATCAACATTTGAATGGCCAGATGCATCATTTTTGCATTGATTGTTAAATGGCTATGCTCTCTCATGTGTGAATGGTATGGGATACCTATTGCATATCATTGTAAAGAGGATTAATATATATTTTTCTTGATATATGAAAGATAATTTTATATTAACCTTTGACTGCTAGATTCTTACATTTTTCATAGATTTAATACAGGAACAACCCTGTTCCAGTAGACAATGGGTTCAATGGTTATTTGAAAAAAGTTAACTAGAAATAGTGTCTACTTTTATTTTTTGCGAGAGTACATACGGTACACCATATACATAAGGAAACAGCATGCGAAAGGTTTAATATGTAGGAAAAAAACAGACAGATTTACTTGTAGGCCATTCAGATAAGAGGGTATTTAAATGAAACTCGTAGAAAGAAACATTGTAGAAAGAATCATGAATTGTATCACCAAAGGGGTGTACCCACTGGATAACTCTGTATTAAGAAACTAATTTTGAAGAAGTCACTTCACACGGCCAATCATCAAAGCATGCTCACAATAAAACACACCCACAATAAGACACGCCCAGTTATTAAGGGGGGGGGGGGGGTAAGAGGACACTTTTTTTATGGGGGGGTTTACACACAGAAAATTACCAAAGGGGGGGGGGGGTTTAATCATCATCATCATCACCATCATCATCACCACTATCATCATCACCATCACCACCATCATCATCATTTTCATCATCTTCATCACCACCATCATCATCATCATCATCATCATCATCATCATCATCATCACTATGAGTGTTGTAACAAACTTTCTGTATAACAAGGTGTTCAGTCGGTTTCAATACTTCTGTATTCTCTTGTTTTTCACCTGTGATATTTATAATATGAATATAACTGTTCATCAGAATGGATCTACAATGGTAGGTAGAATCTCAGACTAGGAGATAAATGGTTTAATACATGTCCTTGTGTGAGAAGTAAGTATAAACATAAGCCAAAGCTACATGGTAGTAAATTAGTAAGATTATTCAGACGTGAGTGTCATGTACCATAATTATATCATACAAAAATATCAAATCAATATCATTTATATACAGTAATCTTTAGTTCTGAAAGCCACAGTACAGTCGTACATACAAGTATCTAAAATGGAGGCCCCGTGTAGAGAAGAGTTGCTACCTTTGCACGTTAAGAACCCACTGCACTATTCGTATAAGAGTAGGGGGAAACCCCGGTGTAGTGGTCCACCTGCACACACCCCCAGTATAGTACGATAATACTCTGTAAAGAGGTCTGTACTCAAAAGGAAGAAGAAGAAATAAACATGTACTATCATTGTATACAAGAGAATCAATGTGTTGCTACACAAATTGCTTGGAAACTAACATGAATGCAAGGTCTGAGCTAAATATACTAATATCATACAAAACTATCAAATCAATATCATCTATATACAGTAATTTTTAGTTCTGAAAGCCATAGTATAGTCATACATTCAAGTCTCTAAAAATAAATACATATACATGTACTATCATTGTATACAAGAGAATCGATGTGTTGTTACAAAAATTGCTTGGAAACAAAAATGAATGCAAGATCTGAGCTAAATATACTAATACATGGTGATAAGCAGGATATGCATGAACATCCAAACCTGTCCATAGAGGCCATCCAAGGGGAAATGGCCACTGTAGACAGGTGGTGTTTGATAAAGCTGTTTGTAAAGTTACGCATGACTTTACGAACGACTTGTATATGAAAAGCCAAATGGGATGCTCAATCATTACTGCATCAACTAAAGTTGAATTGTGCAGATGTAGATTAACATTCTTATTATAACAAACATTTTTAATGCAAAGTATATTTTTTGCCATAATTTAATTGAGGTTATTGGAAATATCAGAAAAAACTTTGGGCATCCGATCTGGCACTTCATATACGAGTCGTTCGTAAAGTCATGCATAACTTTACGAACAGCTTTATGAAACACCCCCAGGTTCTATAACACACTTCTTTCTCAAGGGAGGCAATATACCTTGGGGGTGTTCATAAAGCTTTTTGTAAAGTTACGCATGACTTTACAAACTACTTGAATATGAAGTGCCAGATAGGATGCCCAAAGTTTTTCCTGACGTTTTCACAAAGTGTGGCTATATTACCAATAACCTCAATTGAATTATGGATGCATGTATGATTGAAATTTTTCTTGAGGGAAAATACAAATTTCTTTCACAGAGTTGCCAACTCCTGTTCCTCTAATGTTTCTGCTTCTATTAACTTGTTGACTACTGATTTCTTTAATTCCCATAGGCTCAATACAGGGGCCACTCGGTTCCAGTATAGAATGGATTAATACCAACTTAAAATCAGGGGGGAATTCCCCTTTAAACACTTAAAACTGACATAATATGCATGCAATAATTGTTCAAAAAGCATATTGGTACAACGCATGGGTGTATTTTGCAATTGAAAGATTTTTAGACTAGTCTGGAGGGAAAAAAAGATAGAAAAACATGATCAGTATGTGAGGAAGAGAAGAGAAGGAAAAAGGAAAGAGTATGGGACAAGGAAGAAGATGAGAGGGAAGGAGGGAGAGAGAGAGAGAGAGAGAGAGAGGCATGTAATCCAGCAAAATGATAAACATTCAGATAAATACATGTATATTCGTTACATTAATTATGTATGCATATATTTCACTATCAGTGAGGTCTGATTAACTTTAAGCCCCAATATAACTACAGTAATAAAGAGATGATTGGTAATACAAAATAAAATAAAAGCTAAGAAAAGATACAGACATACTAAAGCTTTTTGCCTTGCACTAAACAAACCAGTTCATCTTGGTTCACAGTTCACAGCCGAGCGAGAAAATTTCACTCATTTTACGTATGATGGAAGCCGCATATATTCAGCTTGCTGAACTTATTTTGTGCCGACAGAAAGAGTTTGTGAGGACTTATGTTATTCTTGCTAGCATTGCTTCAGCCCATTGGCATTAAACGGCTGGCTTTTTGTCCAATCACAGCGGAACAGCCCATCATTTTTTTTGCTCTTGGTTAATTTGGCTTCAGATTTCGGCTTTCCGTTCATTCTTGCGACTTTCTCTGATGAGTGCAAGATGAAAAGCTTTGGTTTGTCTGTACAACAGTAATAGTTGTAATCATGAAATTGAACATTTTTGGCACATCTCCTAATGCTCAATACCAATTTCTACATCGCGTCACAGCCATTAAGGTGTACCATAACACGGGGTGAACAGGGACCAAAATTGGAAAAGGATTGTTTCTGAATTTTTTCCTCAAGTAATAATGGAGACGCTTTTTATTTCAAAAAAGAATTACAATAAATTCTGAATAATGAAAAGGTTCTGTATCATTTCTGATAAAAATACAAAATTATGTAAAAAAAAAATTGCAAATTTTTATCCTTTTTGACCCCGATGTTCCTATGTATTTCTTTCGTCTGTTCGAAGAAAAACTAGATGGATCTTCGACTGCGCACAGTCAAAAATGATGCCTCCGCTAAAGAGCGATTTTACAATCCAAAACTGAAGCAATTTTAAAAATTCAAGTTTAATTGTAATCCATTAACAGGTTCTCAGAATATCGTGATTACAAGCTATTTTTCATATATATTCATGGCTCTGCAAGATACATACATGTCCGGAGTTTGATAGTAATCATCTGTCGGTTCTAATGATAATGCGTTCACAGACGTACGTACGGACGGACAGACTGAAAACCAGAAAACATAATGCCTCTGGCTACTTTGTTGCGGAGGCATAAAAAACCCAGACAGGAGCTACATTTCTACAGAGCCAGATAGGCTGATTTCCTATTATTTCATTTATCTCTTTTCACCTATTTCTACAATAACAGAAAATGTAACTGTATGTACAAAGACTTTCAATTCAACAAATCATTACGAGCATAGAAACACCGACAATTAAGATTATTACTATACAATTACAATTCAATTAGTTGTATTGTTTTAAATTTAGGGTTAATGTACCATGTAGGGTTATATATAGATATCTTGTTAATACAACAATTTGGTATATATATATGTATATATATATATATATATATATATTAATCCGATATATATAAACAGATATATATCTCACACCTGTAACTTCCGATCAAGGTGTCACGATGACGAGGCTCCCTGCACCCCTCCCTCTTCGGCTGTTTTTTGCTCTTGCGTGAAGACGAACCGCACCTCTGAACCTGCCATTTTGCCCCCGTAGTGCCCCGCCCAGAATTTATTATCCTTGCTTTTGTCCCAGTAGCGAATGAAACGTAATCCTGGACCGTACTCTCTGAAGTGATGTGATGCCTTGGAAAGATAATTCAAGTGTTTGATTTATTATTATTACCATCATCTTCATCATCATCAGATTCCATGACATTTGCTCCGGCGACAATTGCTCCGCTGTAAATTTCATACATTAATCGAATGGCTAACTTCAACCCTGGATTCAACACTATACCCTACCCTAAACCTAACCCTAAACCTAACATAAAACCCTATTGAAACCCTAACCCTAACCCTAAATCTTAGACGAAATAAAGCCCGGAGCAATTGTCGCAGGAGCAAATGTCGTGTCACCCATCATCATCATCATCATCATCATCATCATCATCATCATCATCATCATCATCAGTAGTATTATTATTATTATTAATGTTATTATTATTATTAAGGATATTATTATTATTATTATTATTATTATTATATACTTTGCTTTTTCCAGAGCAGCCCAAAGCGCTTACAACAAGAAGAATCCTCAAAAATGAAAATGATTGAAAATGATTGATTGATTGATTGAGAGGTTATTTGTTTCTAAAGGTAATGCCAGGTACTCATACGAGTCAAAATAAAAAATGATGCATTGTTGGTCACCACTAATATCTGCTAGGAGGCTGCACCTAAAACCTGCCTTGCCAAGGTGCTGTAATGGTTTGGTGTACAGATGTCAAAGGCATAAAAAAAAAAATGCCCTGACATATTTCCCCCTGACAATTTTACCTCTGATGTTTTTTTTACAAATGACATATTTACCTCTGACATTTTTACCTCCAGCATTTTTAAGTCTCATGTTTTTACTTCTGACAAGTTTATTTCTCCCATTCTTATCTCTGATATTTTAACCACTGATGTTATATGTCTGACATTTTTACCCCCGATAGATTTACCTGGCACAAGTGTACAAGGGGGTTGAAATTAGACGACTTGTGGGCCAGTTTCTGATAATAATTATAATTTACACTTATAACGCGCAGACATTAGATGCAAATATATTCTACTGCGCTGCAAGAGCTCCTGATAAGCTTAATATCTACAAAATACAGTTAAATGTAAAGATGTACTTTAAGTTTTTATTCAAAGGACTTGATGACAGGGATTTCCTAGTCTCTAGTGGTAGTTATTCCACAGTTTTGGGCCTGGGCATGTAAATGCTTGATCTCCAAATGTTCTTTTTGTTTTTTATGCGATGGGGTTTGCAATTTTAGTGTCTTTGGAACTGCACAGGCTGCAAGTATGTTTGTGAGACTTCAGTTTTAACAGTTCTACAATATAACTAGGAGCTTGACCAATTAAGGATTTACAGAGAATTGACAGAATCATTATTATTATTATTCTTTGGCGTAATGTTAGCCAGTGCAGATCTCTCAAAGGAAGGGTGATCCATGAGAATTTGGAACAAACACAAATCAGTCTTGCACAAGTGTTTTGGACCTGCTGTTTGGACCTATATTCAGTTGGCCCGAATTCACAAAGGAGATTTAGATTTAACCCATGGTTTAAACCCTCATTTACATAACCCATGGTTTAAAATAAGCACAAAATAAGCATGACACAAGTCGGAGGTCTAATATTAGATGCACACAAGGCAAGGTACGCTTATTTTGCGCCAAATTTTTAAACTATGGGTTATGTAATTGAGGGTTTAAACCATGGGTTAAATCTAAACCTCCTTTGTGAATTTTGGCCATTGACTCCCTATTTGGAAGACAGTTTTTCTAATTAAACCTGGAGTGCAGTTTCGGGTAGTTTCTTTTGGTGAAACACATCCTACCTGTTTCCAGCTCTTTTCTGGCCATTCCGGTGTCTGGATGGGGCCAAACGTGAAGCTATCAATAATCACATCTTTAGTATCATCAGATGTAGGTCTGCCGTTTAAGAGCTGCACGCCAAATTCATAGGTATTTCCACAATCAAACCTGGCAGCATACCTGCGCAAGAAACAAAGGAGAGCAGAAAGGTTAAAGGGATCCAGTAACTTTGTCTCAGATTCTGCAACAAAATTCTTGATTTAGCTCATGCTGCAATGATAATTATAAACCTTTAGGTCAGCCAGGAACCCCATGACTTTTACAAGCCGATCGGCTGTCTGATTATCAAGATATTTCATAACACTATTGGGGAAAACGAGTATGGTAAAACCCGTCACTCAAAGATTTTTTTACTTTTTTGAGGCTCTTATTGATCATTTTGAAGCGCATTTTTTTAGGGCTTCAATATTACACCATATGACAGACACTGTTAACACGTAGGGCCGTGCAACTCAGATTTAACATTGTTAAACGATGCCTCTAAAGTGTACCAATCACCCAAAATAATTCATTTTGTATGTCGTAACACTATAATCAAAATGTGAGCTTCAAAAAAATGCTTCTGTAAAGAGATTTTGCCAGTTAAAATACACCCTCAATTAAACTAAGAGTGATAGTGAGCACTGAGTAGAGGACTCAATGCATCCGTATCCACTTCACTTACTCAATGTATGGATTGCATGGGACCCAAGTCCGACTTTAAGAAGAAGAGGAAGAAGAAAAAGAAGCTCACGATTCTTTTCTTCATATTTCTCAACTCAACCTTTTCTTTAAGATTGCATACCCTTTAACTCTCATCTCACTCTTCTACATCTGACACATAAACATGAAATTAATCCACTTGATATACATGTGTATGCATCAAATACAGAGGGCTTTCGCTGCTTTTAGCCTCATTCAGATATGATGGTAGTTAAACTGCCGCAAAAAAGCCACATTTTTGTTTAGTTAAAAAAAAAAAATAGTTTAAAAATTCTTGCCAAAGACAGGAAATCAGACTCGACTAGCACTTGTGCTAACTTCTGGTACCCCCTTTAACAACAAAAGTGTACACAAACCGGTAATCTTTTATTCCATTTGTATACAACATACTTTGTAAAACAATGTTTATATTATTCATGTGTAATGTTATTGATCTTGTGTTATATTGTTTTTTTCATGTAATCATGCTTGATACATTATGTTTTACTTGTTATTATTTTTGTTGTTAATAAACTCAAACTCAAACTCATATGTATTCAGAGAGATCTGTGTTATTAGAAAGAGAAATGTAAAGCGTATTACACATTATATCATCAAAAAGAGACCTCGTTAGTTTTGCTGCATCTTATCTTAACGAGGCTTTAGTAACAGAACCTGTCCCCTAAGTAAATCTTCTACAAAGCATCAACACTCTTGCAAGAGTATGGTGAGATGGGCCATAAGCTGCACACTTTGCTAACCCAAAGGCTTAAAGTCCTAGAATTCAGAGTTTTAGGATAAATTTCTCTTGTTTATCCTGATTCTGCATATTTTGAAGTTGACTTGTGGAAAAAATCATGACTGACAAACATCAATAAAGCATGATAAAAAAGTTGTTTTAAATGCCAGTTTAAAATTGGTCGTCTTAACATGACAGGGTCCATAAGCTACGCAAATGTTTCCATGAAATCTTTGGCCTTCCTTTCCCTCTTATGCCATCCACTTTCAATTCAGGATTCATGTTTCCTTCTCAACACTTGACCCATCCATCTCAATACATTTCTTACCACTTCCTCCACAGTTTCCTCTAGACCCAAACTTTCCATGAGCTCACTTCAAGGGTTCAGTGACACAAAGACGTAACTCCATATTTTGCCAAAACGGGTATTTGATATCAAAATGTTCAGAAAAATGTGGGCTTTCCAGGAAACACAAAGACTTAACTCCATCCAACACCCCATTGAAGTCAATGGCCAGTGAAACATAGACTTAACTCCTTCAGGCCCAAGTGCTCAGTGACACATAAACTACTTTTTCTCAAAATGGCCAAAATGGAGTTACGTCTTTGTGTCACTGACCCCTCGACTTGTCATTTGTGTTCATTCTATCCGACAATTTCACACCACACACCTTCCGTATCTCAATTCACTTCTCTTTCAATACATGAATGGAATATTAGATTTAGCAACTGAGTAAATGTGAATTCACATTGATTTCAAATCAATGAAAAAATGACAAGAAATAAACAAAAATTTATGAATTTTGGGCAATTTCGGGCAAATCTCAACGACATTCTCGTTGCTGAGTCACCACAGAAGTATGGCAGAATTTGTGCATTGCATTGCACATGTGCGGGTGGCGTACATGGAGCTTATATGGGCTCTTGGACATATACCTACCACTCTGAAACAAAGATAATGGGCTGCAGACAATCCAACATTTCTTCGCTGAACCCTTCTTCTAAGAGGTCAATGACCTGCTCTCTCTCGCACCATCCGTAGGACGTAGCAAAGCTCTTGTACTGGCCTCCAGTAAGCAGGAGAACTTCATCAGGAAGGCGAGCTGAACCTGGACAATCTGTCTCCACCTTCCATCTTTCTCCTCCATCGCTCAGGATCTTCCATTCACACAGGTCAAACTCTCCCTTGCTATCTGCATTATTAAAAAAAGGGGTCAAAGTTTACGAGAAGTGACACAAAAATACACGTCTGAAACACCAAAGGGCAGTTCTGCGCAATGTATCCTTTATGACATGTCTGTTTATCCACAAGTTTCATCCAAAAGTTAAGGACCACTGATTATTGGTATCACTACCAGCAGTCATAGTCATATTTTTAGATTTTTCATTCAACGAGGAAATAATGGAGAAATGTCAAATGCATTATGTCACACGGTACACACTGCATGGAATCACTTAAATACACAACTTAAAAAGAGACAAAACGAGGAGGTGTCAACGAGACCAGATCCTGTGTTGCACCGACTTTACTAGAAGAAACTCAAGGATAAGTGACATCATAAACAAAGGAACTATCAGAAACATAAAAATAGAATAGTATAACATGAATGGGAGAACCCAAAGAGAAGGAAGAACCCAGAGAAAAGGAAGAACTAATAGACAGTATGGAAGGGTGATCATGAGGTGTTCTGAATTTAAATGAGAACTAAACAATAGAACCATGTGGAGTGGAAATGGAGTGGAAATGGTAGCATGAGAGGTGGAAATAGATTTGGAAGTAACAAGGTGTAGCAATGGCAATGAGAGCAAGGAGTTTTAAGAGATTGAGGCCCAACGTACTGGCAACAAATTATTCCAAGCAGCTGCCGTTTTCTATGGTTGCACAATAGACTCTTCTGGTGTACTGTTACCTTTGATGTTCGAGGTTCAAAGCCGCCAATATCATTGGAAAGCTTGAGTAGTGATTTTTGTCACAAAGAAATATCCTTATTATTTCACTTTTTATTTGAACTAACAAGGGGTACAATACAAAAGCCTAATTGTGTCAAGAAATTTGCTTATATTGTATGGTAGCAGCTTTAATTTGTGAAAAACAGTAAAGATTTACAGTCCTAAAAGCTGCAATTTGACACTTTTCTGATTACTTGCGGCTCACGAAAATAAAAAGTGAATTTGTTCACGTTCAGTTCTTTATGATGTTATATATATGTCAGATTAGTGCCCACACATGCCCAGTTGAGTAATTTTGATTAATATTTCAGGAAATTTTGCTCCATTTCCTTTCACTTGCCTCCTGTAAAGGTAAGCATATACTGTGTACTGCTCATATTATCAGACGAGGGGTAGCGGAAAGTAATTATCGTTACCAAAGCATATTTCCCTTTGAAAGTGGTCCGTTAGTTTGCAGCTATAGGCAGGAATCTTTTGTCTACGTATATGCCAGGAAGATCACATGCCTGACATATTTTCTCCTGGCGGCATCAAAGATGGTACAAAGGGAATGGGCTAGATAGGACTCCGTCTCTTAAAACTCCTTGATGAGAGTGATGTGTGAAGGTGGAGAAGGGAATGGAGGTCATGAGCTGAAATGTCAATGAGATGCAAAAGGGATGTCAATCATAGAGTATGAAAAGCAAAACATCAAAACCATCAATAAAGTAAAGAGTAAATCTTGCAAAATAAAACTGTTATAGTATCTTACCCTGACCACTGCTGTTCTTAATAAGGTTTCTCGCAAAGGGCGACTTGAAGTAGAATTCTTTCCAGTCTGTCGGGAAGTACGGCGCCATGTATTTTTCGACATATTGGCCTCCCCTCTCACATTTCTGCCTCCAGAAGGACTGCTCGGTCACGGCTTCTTGCCACGTCTTGCAGACGCAGCTGCATTCTTTGAGGTCGCAATCGGGTACGAAGGTCAAGTTGCGTTGGATCAGCTCGAAAGGAAGGTCTTCAAAGACACAATCACCAAGTGGCCTTTCCATATCTAGATTGATCCCTTGGGTGTCAATATCAGGCTCTGAAAATTCACCTGTCTTTTCTGTACACCCAGGTTCCTTGGTCTCTGGCTCCATATTCTATGACAAGTTCAAACGAAGAGAAACATGGAAATAATTGTCATCGATTCTTGCTATCAAATGAATTTTCCTGATATCACTCACAAAGTGCTTGGGAATTACCAAATAGGTTTTCATTAGATCCATTATTCTCATTTTGTATGAATTTATATAATGTAATTGAGGTGTCTTGGTCAAGCGGTTTAATCAATCGACAGGGAATGCAATAATCGTGGGTTCGAACCCAACATGGCAATGTCCTTGAGCATAGCCTTCTATCTACATTGCTCCTCTCCATCCAGGTGCTAATTGGGTACCCCGTTGGGTACCTTGTGCGCCCCTGTAAATGGGCGACTGGTTGGAATTTAATTCTCACCAAGGGAGTGGAGAGTGTGCACTGTAATGTGCAGAATCAAAATAGAATCTAGTGACCGGGGTAATAATAATGTAAGCGGTTATATTGAAACTGGTTAACAGCTTTATATAAGAAACAGTACTTATTACCTAGTATTTCACTCTTTAAAATGCTTTGTAAATTTGTTAATCGCTTAAGTTAATGTTTGTATTTTTCTAATTGGAGTCTGGAGAATAAATAAAGACTGTAATGAACATCTGAAAACCCTATCCAAAAGAAAGAAACGAGCGTGTGCACCCCGCGCTGACGAGTGAATGTACTTTCGTGCAACGTTTTAAACTTAATTGTGAACTTTGTCCGGGCAATGACACACCCATCCCCTCGCGCGGGCCTGTCTAATTATGAACGTAATTTTGCAACATGAAATATGATTGTTTCAAGGCTCTTAGGGACGGATTAGTGTAGCCGTAGAAGGAACCCCCAACTAAAATTTTGGAGCTGGATATCTCTTTTAAGTTTTATGGAACTTCTGCCTGGAGTCGGCAGATAGCTAGGTGAGTTGTCTTAGTTAAAGAAACGGGCGCTAGTGTAGTTCCGTATCCATTTTTTTAGCAGTTTCATATCCATTCTTAGCAAAGGAATTTTAGCCCAATTTTTTACTAATTTTAATCATAATCATATATTGCATTTTCCACCTGAATTTGGATCACATCCGACATCGGGAATCCTCCGTTTAGGGCTTCGATGTCCACGTCGTCGCTCAGTACCATCTCCGCGCTATAGCTTTGCAACTCAAACTGAAGCTATCAGTCTAAAATTATGCAAGCTTCTCGTATAGATTATGGTATCGTGCATGTGCGTAATACCATAAAGCATACTTTACTTTACTTTACTTTAATCCATCGATGTTGGTAGGACAGAGCCTGTTCATCGATCGATTGAATTCCTTTGCATCAATAATTCTGTTTGCATAATTTTAGACTGATCGCTTCAGTTTGAGGTGCTGGGGGCCGTTTCTCGAAACCAACTCCATGACAGTCATATCTTTGTCGGCGACCGTTTTCAAAGCCATGACAGACATGCTATCGATATATGGCGATACTAGCAGCTCAAGAACATAGTCTTTGTCACGATCCATTTGATTTATCTAGAATAACCCAAAACGAGTTTTAGGGCTAAAATTGTTCAAAAAGAAATATATACATATAAATTCTCCTAAAATAAATAATAAATAGTATCATTATCATATTTACATCATCAAACGATTTGCATATTTCTGTAAAGATTCTTAAATTGAAGAAAAACCGGTGAGTGTTTTTTTTCGAGAGTCAAATCAAAAGTTAGTTGAAGGATACCGTAATGTGATAGTTTATCAATACGTACTTTTTTGTTTATTGCGACGAGGAATTTTAGGCAAAATGTCTTTTCTCAGCCAGTTTTTATTCTAGAGTCTCATAAATACTTGTTATATAATTGATTTGATATTGAAAATATAATTTGGAAGAAGTAATTAGAGAGGGAATAATAATGCACATAGATCTAGGCCCCAAAGGTATGACGGTATCCTAAGAAAAGACTATGGATCGACTATGGAAAACGGTGTGTAACATTCTTACCTCTCTTATTTATATGTTATAGTTATAATGATTTGTGATTTAATGTTTATATTCAGCTTTTTAAAGTTTCTGTATAATTTGTATTCTCACTTTTGTACATTTGGATTTCGCATCCCAGAGAATTACGTACCGAACTCATCTATATTTTTCTCAAAATGATAGTGAAACTAATCGTCCATTTCACGGCCCATGGAATGGCAACAAACTGACTTGTGATGGCGCTTTACAGCAATTAAAAAGATATGACAGGTTTGGAGCAGTGACAACTCGCTTGTCGCGGAAGTTGTCGCTCATCTTGGCAAAGACGGCTTCGTGAAACACTTAGCTGACAAGTTGCGTGACAGTGGCGAGATGTCGTTGATCTTGTAGTTATGACGGTTTCGAGAAACGGCCCCCAGAGCTATAGCGCGGAGACGGGACTGAGCGACAACGTCGACATCGAAGCCCTAAACGGAGGCTTCCCGAAGTCGGATGTAATCCAAATTCAGGTGGAAAATGCAATAGACCCTAGATCTAGCTCTATATGATTATGATTAAAATTAGTAAAAAATTGGGCTAAAATTACTTTGCTAAGAATCGACTGTTTAAAAAAACTGCTAAAAAAAATTGATACGGAACTAGTCTACACTAGCGCCAAGAAACGGCAGGTCTACTTTCTTTTAAACTTTGTTTCATTATAAATAAATGAGTAATTAAAAAGTTAGATTTTGGTATTGGCCTCCCTAACAATAGAGCTAGATTTTAATTCTAGAGCTCTACCGAGACGAGTACGAGAGTTCCCATCCCCGACCCCGGCGGCCCGGCTTAATTCGCAACGGAGCTCCGGTGAGTTAGCTTGCTGAGCTGAGCTGAGTTTACTTGGCTTGGAAAAACATTTCTTTGGTATTCTGAACAGATGGCAAAATACACATATCTACTCACTTTAGACTTTGACGGTCTAAGCTTTAAGCTAGAGATTCTTTGGCCCATTCAGTTCACGGTTGAGATTTTGAAACTTAATTTGACAGCGATCACCCGGAAATTGCCTGTTGTGTATATACGGTACATGCAAGGCAACGTTAACGTACCGTACCCTGCCCAGTTACCGCCCCCCTGTTACCAGTGGCTTATTAGACACAACGGCCGTCTTCCATCGCCCGAGTTTCTACGGTGCGCAATGAAGGCGTGCGACTAACTTGCCTATAGCAGCATACACGTTGTAAGGAACATGTGCACGAAATATGGTACACTGTCGATCGCCCATTTTAACGGAGATACGCGAATGACGTCACTGTGCAGCAGTCAGCTATGCGCTTATTTAGGTGTGAATCAACCTTTTTAAAAAACATCAAGTTCCTATTCAAAACGATCAGAATAAAAATATGGTGGAAATTTTACTTTTGTTTAAAGAGATATGGAAGTTTAAATTCCTGATGTTTTACCTGAGCAAATTTCTTGCGAAAATTATTATTTATAAAAAAGTTATCGAGGCTTGAACTCGGCCATGTCGCCCTGTGATGCCCCTGCCCTATTTCCGCCCACTCAAACACACGCGCTAGTTCAGTGTATGTACCGTGCGTTGTTTATGCTCTAACAGAGAAAAGGTTATCTGCCCGTGGTTTTTTAGTCTATTTGTGTGTTTTTAGGTCTGCGGTTGGTTTTTTGAAAGTGCACACTTCATTGTCTTTTTTCCATGATAAAACACTCGGTTTACTCCATAAAATCGCAACTCGAGAGTATGAAGAAGGTGAAGAATACACAAATACTATAAAACTACATTCGACCTATAAACAGTTTGTAAATTGGGAATTCACCCCCCCCCCCCCCCGTATATGTTGACCTACATTTTGCAAATAAAAGAAAGATCATAAATGAGATAACATGGTCACCAGGCATAAAACTCTTTACTGGGATTACAGCCATGCAGTTGTCAAAATCTGCCAGACGGAACGTTGTTTCACTTTTTGATGAGCAATCATAACCGTGCTACTAAACTTAACATTTTGCAGGCTCACTTGCATGGTCTACAAAATAATCATTTAGAGGTGGCCATTCATTTTTTGTTGAGTTTACAACCAGAAAATAAAATTCAGTGTAAATTGAGTAGCTGTTTATTTATTGCCCTTTGAAGGTTCTAGGTCAATTACCCCTTGGGCATGTCACCCCCGGCCAATTAGCGGTACAATAATTACCCCAAGGACGATTACCCCCCCCCCCCGAGGACAACCACCCCGAGGAAGTTACTCCCCCCCCCCGAAAAATTACCCTCTAGGACAATTATTACCCCCCCCCCCCGTGGACAATTAAACCCCCAGAGGACAATTACCACCCCCTGAAATTAATGATCTCCCCCTAAAAATTACCCAACTAATTATTGAGGTTGACTTCCCCCTGTTCATACTGAACAGGGGGTAGTCCTCGGGGCGGTTGTCATTGGTTGTCCCAGGGGGGCATTGTCCTATATAGGGGTTAAGTTTCAGGGGGGGGGGGGGGGGGGGACTCTTTTCCGGGGGTAGCTCGTCGAGGCACGGTAATTGTCCTTAGGGGTAATTATCTTTGGGGGTAGTTTTCCGGGGGGTAATGGTAGGCGAATAAGGTGGGAGGCTGAGATTGAACCCCCCCCCCCCGAAGAATGTTGCAATGATGTTTGGCCGTTCGTTCGATCGAGCAACCGACAATTTCTGGTAACGATGTGGTAATGTGATAATCATGCAGTTAAATTTTGTGACAAAATTATATATGATTGATTAATGTTGCAAAAAATGCTGGAAGTTCGGTTCTCCAAAAGTGATCCCGATGACAACTAAGTCCGGCTTTTAAAAAAGTTGCCAGGTTTGGTAGATTTGCAAAAAGTTTGTATTTATGTTCTATGTCGCTGAAGCTTGTGTCGCCTTTCAATCCAGCGTCGTGGCTTTGTAGCGAAAAGAGTGCTTGTTTCTGATACGATACAGGATGCAGGCAGAGGATTGATGTATTAGTTTTTGTTTTAATTAATTTAGTTTAATTTATTCCCTCAATTTTCTTCGATTACACCCCTCCTTTCCCCGATTTTTCTTTTAGTCTCCCTCTTCACTTTTACATCCTTTTTCTTAGTGCTTCTATACATTAGGCTATAATATCTTTTTTCAAATGTTTGTGTGTTATATATTTTTGCCAACACGGACCATGACATTTTCGCTGCTATCAAATTTCCGTCAGCTGACTGTGAATAAAATAAATGTTGTTTTATGTGAAATAAACCTATATGAATGGCTATCGAAAGAGTAGTATAAAACTATAAATGATACATTTCACAAGGGCCTATACGCCTGTCAGCCTTTCAAATGGCTAGGGTAATTCTTATATACGTTGTTAGTTTGCTAAAGTTTTATGGCGAATAAAAGGTGAACATTTTTTTATCTCTATCCATCACATTAATATCTCTCGGCAATAAAATGAATGAATATTGAATGAATAAATAAATAGATGAATTATGTAGAAGATGTGGGGGAGGGGGTATAGTGCCAAATTTAGAGAAGGGCAATACATTGCAGGACATGATTTGAGTTGTTCTCGGTAATGTCAACAAAATACTTATACAATAGCTTTCAACCCTCTTTGGATGTTGAAGTGGCAAAAACGTGACTGGTGACCCCCCCCCCCCCTACCACCACTCCTTTTGCATTAATTATTATACTACATTATTTTGCAAAAAAAAAACACTGACTTTCTATGGAAGTGAATCGACAACTTCGTTTTTAAGATCATTTCGGAAAGTTTTGTCTTTCAAGTTGGCTATAATTATTATTGAATGCATTATCAAAATATAATACTGCATAATTTAGAACAAGTGGAAAACAAAAAACACAACAACTTGAAGTCTTAAACAAATAATCAAAAAGGAAACCACATTTGCGTTATAGACCTATATACCCTAAAATTGTAATGATGATGATTTAGACGATGTCGGCGATGATGATAATTCTAATGACAATATTGCTAGATGCTTTTTCCAACCAATTATGCCTAAAAATATACGCTAATTTATTTTTGAATCAAGATTTGAGAGATGTCGAGAATAGTTTGCATTTAAAAATAATTAAAAATGAAGCACCATTACTTTATTTTACAATATGTTCACTTTGATAGTGGTTATAGTTTTTTTTTAAAATAAATTCTTTCACCCTAGTGGTTAATTTAAAAATGATTAGCGATATGTTAAGTGTCTTTAGTCAGATTTGTTTGATTACCATTATTAAAACATTAAAGACAAGTCACAGGATTTTCCCGGAAAGGCAGTTACAGAATTTTCCCAGATCAGAAAGTGGTGAATAACAGTGAACAGACATTATTAGTAGGCCTACAGAGGCAAAAGAAGAAATAAAGAAAGAAATATCAATTATCAAAATATCATGTAGATCAAATTCTACTGGGAAGCAATTTTATTTGGCCTAACGTTTACCCGAGATGTCTCCCTTTTCTATACTTTTGATGCGCGTCCACCATCGGGACGAATTAGGGCAGGTCTAGGCGGAAATAGGCAAGGAAAATGCCTCACGCAGACGGCGCACTACGGACAATTGCTTACGATTTCAGGCATAAGAATGGCATGGTTGGATTCGCTAGAATTTCGGCTACAAATTGATATACATTAGCGCCTGTATAATTCATTTTCAGAAAAGTTATCTAAGAAAAACTGCCTATCGGGCGGATACCGGGCAGGGTACGGTACTGTAGCTGCTGCTGCTCCTATAGTATTAAATACAACCCACTGATCTCTACGGAAAAATCATGTTGTTGTTGTTGTTGTTTTAGTTTTAAGGGCGTGTGTCATTCAATTATGAATATTTACGAATCTTCTGATTCTTGTCCTAAAATCATATATAATTGATGGTTTTTAAAACGGTATCATTTGAATTTCCATTTCCAAGCATTATTTTGAACTGTCCCGAAATTGTTTTCCTTTCTTGAAATCAGACTACAGCCCCAGCCTATTCTTTTCTTATGCATGGGGATATTGAAAGGCCTTGTCCTCCCAGACAAGGATAAATAGCTTATTCAGTATGCTACCTTTAGAGACAATACTTTAAAATAATGCTGTCATTGTTGCAATGTCAGGAATGCTATTATTACCTCTTTGGTAATCCACGTATTTGCCAAAAGTATTCGCTCAATGAAGGGAGGGTCGGATTTGTTTTCTTCAATTCATTAATTGATGCCATATCTGAAAGAGCTGAGTAGTTTGTTACGTAACTATTCAAAAATTGCAGGTGCAAGCTATTGAAAAGCCAAGCTTCCTTTATTCATTGGTGCCCTTTTATAGAATTCGTAGCGTATACTAAATTAATAGACCCGTGTTCTCTTCATCATGCTATGTCAGGGCAGTAACCTATTGTCATATCACTTTAAGTTAAAGTCAGTAGTTTGCAGAATAAATGAAAATAACATAAAACATCCCTAATATATCAGTAACTGAAAGAAAAAAATTAGGGGCAATCTTGACAACATCGGACTACAAAAATAATAATAAATATGCCTCCCGAAAGCGTGAAATCAGTAAATCGGCATATTTTGTAAAGTCATTAACATGCAGAAAGTGTTAACAACAAACGAACCAGAGAATGGCACTGAGGCAAAGTGGTCTTGTGGATAAGACTGATCGCATCACAATGTAATGTATCCGGTTCGACTCCCAGCTTCTCCTTTATTTGTTTTATTATTATTTTTCTTCACCCCATGATACTGACTTTCCATCTCTTTTTTAAAGGGGTCACCCCCCACCTTCTAAACAAAGGAGTAAATAACATGTGATACTCTTTTTTTTTTTTTTAAGGGCGACTTTTTGAATTACTTAGTCGTTAGAATACATCTTTTGCTACATCTACAACAATAAGTATCAATATGAAAAAATACATAGAGATTGGCAGTGTGACACATTTAATTTAGTCTAGTGGATAGGCAATTGCCTGGTAACTGGAAGGTATCGGGTTCGACACACAGCAAGTGCTTTAAAAAAAAAATCTTTGTAATAGAAAAACTTATGTTAAACCCCTTTTTGTTTTATCTCACTCAAAGTCCATACTTATTGCTATTCTTTTAATTGATACAATTTTTTTAATTTTTTTTTTTGGGGGGGGGGCGGGGGGGGGGGGGGTAGATGGCGGTCGGTAGCGGTAGCCACAGAGCCATGTTCATTTTTAAAACAAGATTCAAGAGCCTAGCTCTTATTGCCAGGTCAACAACGTTTTTTTACATTTTCAATCCTAATTTCCTCGTTTAAATCACTCTCTACTGTCCCGTACTATCCTTTTCCAGTCTGTATACAACTTATTTGTAGCATGCATGCAATGAACGGTGTTTTACTCCTCCTATAAATTTAATAAAAGCGCCCTAATCTTGCACGAGGTGAGACAAAGGGCCTTTTACATTTGAAAGCATTCACCCCACCTCGCCTGTATACCCGAGCAAAATTAAATAGTGCTCAACAATAAAAACCCCCAGTCTTGGGTCAAGAGGTCCATTATTTGTTTGTTTATTTAGTTATTTTATTTAATTGACATTGTACAGTACTATTAAATATCAGGTATATTGGATGCTCTGTTTTAAATACAGTCAAGATTGCCGGGCAATGAATTACATCCTGCTTCTTGTCCTCAAACCATATCTTTCTGGTTTTTAAAACGGTATCATTTGAATTTCCATTTCCAAGCATTATTTTGAACTGTCCCGAAATTGTTTTCCTTTCTTGAAATCAGACTACAGCCCCAGTCTAAAGTGCTTGTCCTCCCAGACAAGGACAAAGAGCCTCTTCGGTAGGTTTAGGGACAATGCATCAAAA